GGTGCCGCGGTCCCAGCCGCTCACGGTCCTGCGGGAAGACTCTCCGCCTCCCATAGGCTCCTCCTCCCCCGCAGGCTCCACCCCTCCCTGCAAGTTCCTCCCTCCCGCGCACGCGCTGGAGCAGCCTCAGGGCGCCGCGCCGCGTGACGTGCACAGGGCTCTTTAGGCTCAGAGTGAAAGGAGACCCAGGACTTCATAGATGTCAGGTACCCCCCCCGCCGCCTCGTAAGACATTCACAACACCTGCACGGAGCAGGCGCTGATTCATAATTAGCCATCAACAACAGTTACTTAGCGTGTTGTTAATTAACCATTTACAAATGGCTAAGGATGCTAATGAATAATCCGGGTGGAGAAGGCGAAGCACAGAGAGGTTAAGGCACCGGCGCAAGCTCAGCGCTGGGATTTGAACCCGGGCTCTTAAATGCTGCACTTTGCCCCGTACTGCCCCGAAGTGCCAGAGGCGCGTCTCCACGATCCGTGCGGTACGGAGCCGTCCCCGTCAACGCCTGCCGGGAATGCTTGCGAAGGAGGCCAGTGTGGCTGGAGCAGAGCGCCAGCAGACAGCGCCGAAGCCTGCGATTCGGAGGCTGCCTGGGGCCTGACCCGAATCTGGGCCGGCCACTTGCCAGGGTGTGATGAGCCGGGAGAACCTCCCTGTGCCTCTGTTTCCACCGTTATAGTGTCTGCCTCCTAGATGAATGCGAGGGTTGCAGGACGTAAATCGCCCCACAGCGCTGGAGTTCTAGCCGCTAGGTAGGCAAGGATCCATAACCTGTTGCTTGCGCGGGGCTGGGAACGGACAGGAGAGCTCGCCTTCGCACGAGGACCTCTGGTTCTGCTCAGTGCTCAGGGCATTGAAAAACAAGGCAATTTGAGGTGGAAGGCTTGTCGGCATCTGGGTCCCCCGGGGGAAGGGGCGAGGGGGCGGGGAGAGCCAGAGCGGCCCGCGGCCGCCCTGCACGGGACCCCGGCTCCGGCGCTGACTCTGCCTGTCCCCCGCAGCACATGCGAGAGGCCGCAGAACGGCGGCAGCACCTGGAACTGGAGCATGAGCAGGCCCTGGCTGTCCTCCACGCCAAACAGCAGGAGATCGACCTGCTGCAGAAGGTGAGCACGGGCGCGCCCGGGGCAGGGGTGCGGAGGGACGGGGGTGGGGCTGCGCACCCGCGTCTCCCCTCCTTCCCGGCGTCTGTGCCTCCCCGTGCTGCCCAGCTCCCCCGAGTCACCCATGTCCTGAGCTGGACTGCAAACACGGGGACCTTCCAGCGCGCGGTGCCGGCGGGCTCGCGGGGAAACCTCGCTCCGGTGGCCGCCGGGGGCGGGTGGCTTCGGCCCTGCCGGCATCGATTACAACTAAACACACACCTGTGTCTCCATCTGCAACCTTCCATTCCAGAAAAAATGCCCTGTAAGAACCACAGGAACCAGTTCGATACGACTTGGGTTTTGTTTTCTTTGTTCTTTGGGGTTTTTGTGTGTATGTGTGTGTTTTTTTTTTTTTTTTCAGTACTGGTGGGATGTGGGTGGGGAACGGGGTTGAATTGGATGCCCATCCGAGGCAGGGGTATAAACTGAGGTGCGTCCACACTGCAGACCAGGACGGCGTCATTAAAAGGAATAATTTTGGTTTATATCTGCTGAACTGGGGAGATTTCCATCATGTGCTGTTAAGTGAGCAGATCAAGTCTCAGGGCAATATTTTCAGCATGAGAGAGAGGGAATGAACACAAGAAAGAGAAGCAGAGACTAAGAAACGAGGAAGAAGGAGGGAAAACAGAGGGTAGGACTGAGCAGCTGCGGGGGTCCATCCCTGCATCGCCCATGGTGGCGCTGGGGGGCTAAGAACATTGCCCCCCAGGCCCATCCTCCTCATCAGCTGTGGTCCTCTCCTGTATCCCTCTATGGGGGGCTTGGGGTCCTGGGTGTGGTTCTCATTTCCTTCCGGAAGCCCCAATCCTACCTGGAGCCACTCTTCCGGGGAGGGCAGTGGGCCCCACCAGCCAGAGCCTTTCTGGTCTGGGCTACAGGTGCGTGGCAGCCTGTGGAGGGCGCTCCCGAGACTGGCCGCTGACGGGCAGCGAGCAGCAACCCCCCCATCTGGGTGGCCCTCCACCCACCCCACCGCCTTTCCAGGCCTCTGATCTTGTAATAAAGGACTCAGGGCCGCGTGCCCACCTGGCTGGCGATGAGAGTCTGCTGGGATGGCCCCTCTCCTCCTGGGTTTGGGAGCAGACTTTGCAGCAGGTGGAGAATTTCTCAGGCTGCTTCTCTGTTTATTGGGACCATGTATCAAGGGTAGCTGTCACTAAGCCCCCGCTGATGGGGACTGTCCGGCCTTATTACCTGCCATAATACGTTGGCTGGCACAGTGAGAAACAACGTTTCATTAGATGTTATCCAGAAAGGATATTGCTTGCTGGGGGCCAGGCAGAGATACGGCTCTTCTCTTTGCCTGCTGTACGGAGCCTGGACATGGCCACCCGGCACCTGAGCCCGCTCCCTGCAGCCCCGGAAGCCCTGTCCCTGGCCCGGTGTCTCCCAGAGAGATAGGAAGCCTGTGGAAAAACGGATTTCCTGCCGAGGGGGCGACAGGTCGGTGATTCTCAGCAGCACCTTCTCCGGGGGCCTGGAGTTTCATTTAGGAAACATCCGATGCCAGGAAAGTGCGCCAGAGCCAATTCTGATATTCAGCCTTTTCTGTGCCTCGTCCAGTTTCCTTTCTCCCTTCCCTGCATTCATCGTGGCCTCTATTTTGGACACACTGATGCTTCATCAGTGGCGGGAGCCGAGGAAGAGAAACCGGTGCAAAATCAGGGTGCCAATGTGACGATGTCTTAGAGCTCTGATTTCTGAACAAAGCATTCAAAGAGGGAGGTTGAACCTTGAGTGGAACGAGATTGGTGATTTCTTCAGAGCTCCTATTTCCATTTGATTTCCAGCACGGAGGGCCAGCATGCTACACTTGCTGATGAGATCATTCATTCATTCATTCATTCATTCATTCATGCATTCAACAAATGCTGGCTGTCTGCTGTGTGTCAGCGGCTCTGGGTTGTTCCGGAAGGGGAGCCCAGTGGTGGGGGAGATGGCCTGTGCCCCCGCGGAGGGAGAGTGAGCCCCCCGCAGAGGGAGGATGAACTGAGTTCAGGCTATGCAGATGCCATGCGGGGAAGAAGGGACAGAATGACATGGCGGGGTCAGGGAGGATTCCAGACAGGGCGAAGCTTAGGTGTGTGGCAGGTCATGCAAGTGCTCAGGTCCCTGGTGCCCAGGGAAGGAGGCCCTTGGAGGGACACAGGCCGCGCCCAGTGGGCAGGAGATGCGTCCCAAGGAGGGTGGCGCCGAGCCCCGGGCGCTCTGCCGGACATGGGAAGGAGCTCAATCTCGTTCCAAGGGAAAGGGAAGCCACTGGGGGACTGAAGCAGGGGTTTAACAGGGTCTGATGCACATCCTTTGAGCATCGCACTGGGGATTGATCTGTGGAGGGGCAGGGAGGCCCCTTACCCGCTGCCGGGAAGCCTGGCGTCTCAGCCTGGGGCAGCGGCTGCAAGGGGGAGACATGGACACATCCCAGGACAGATCAGGAGATGGAGCCATCTGCTCAGGGGCTGTGGTGGGCGGGCAGGGGTGGGGGTGTGTGGGAAGGGGCAAGTCCAGGCTGATTCTGGGCCTCCCAGTCCTCACACATTGTGGGTGTCGATCTGGGCTGGACAGAAACATCGCCGAGGTGGCGTGGTCCTGGATGGGCAGACACCCAGTGGCAGGTGCCTGGGATGGGAGGAAAGTCTCCGAGTCCTAGATGGAGGGACACCGGTGGACTGTGAAATTCTCTCAGGTGACTCATCATCCCGTGTTTCTATTTTCTGCGAAAAAGTCAGCGGATGGGGGCGTTTTCCTTGTACATAAACATTTCAGGGCTGTGCAGACCCATGCACAGGCTGGGACAGTGTGGGAGAGGGGCATTAGGGCTGGGAGGTCTTGGGGTAACACGCCACAGGAGTCAGGAAAGGCGAAGGAAGAACAAATGGCATCTTACTCTAAAAAGAAGCCAGGTACTTACTGGGCGCCAGGGACTATTTTTAACGAGAACTCTCTCGCTTCAAGCCCATTATGACCCTATGAAGTGGGTCCTGTCATCGTCCCATTTCCGAATTGGGGAAGCTAAACCCCAGAGTGATTAAGTCACTTGCCAAATGCCACTCGGCTAGTGAGCAGCACGAACTGGATTTGCACTGAACCCACCGGGCCAGGATGCTCCCTGTAAGGCTCAGGGTTGACCGGAGTCGGGCCCTTGTCCCCCTACCACAATAAAAGTACCAGAGCTCTCTGAGGTCCAGAGCTGGGTCCCATGGGACAGCAGCATGGTTGTCTCTGAGAGCTGCCCATTCTCTCTGGCAACAGCTCCCAGGCTTTCTCGAATCCACTCCAGGGGGACCCCTGCCCTCATCCTGCCATCGCCCATGCATGGACACCATGCCAAGGGCTGGTCCTCTCTCCTCACCCTCTTTGACCCAGAGCACAGTTTCGGGTGGTCAGCCCCTCTGTGCTCTAGGCTTCCAGGACACCACCCTCTCCAGTAATTTCCTTCCACGCAGATCATCCCGTAAACATCACAGGTATTCCCCAAGACTCAGTCCACAAGCCACATCTCTCCATCTGCCCTGGCTCCCGTGGCGACCTCGTCTGGCCCTGTGGGTCTCAATACCGTCTGGGTGCGCCCCCCGCCACACTGAGCTCTCCACGTTGGATTGTGAACCCTCTTCTTTCATCCAGCCTCCCGCGCGACACCTCGGCACGGGGTCCCAAGTCGAACTGCGTCCTCGGCCACACCTGCTCGTCACCTGTTCCACAGAGTTAATGCCTCTCAATGCTTGTCTGCTTCGTCTCTGTGTCTCTGTCACTTCCTTATTCCCAACCTCTGCCAGAGCAGAATTCCTCTCAAGATGGGGGAGGCTTTACCTCCACTTTCCGCGGAGACTCCTGCCCGGAGCCCCGGCCTTCTCTGCCCACAGTGGTTTCTCCAGAGGATGCGGGGCTGGGCCTGGCATCCCCTTCACCCGCATTTTGGGAACTCCCTTTACCCCTGTCTGTGCTTTGCTGGATCGTCTGCATCCTGGAGCCTGCAATGTCCCTTTTTCTTGATGCACCACGGGTGTTAGGTAAGGCCGGGGTTACTTTCCCTCGAAATACAGGCAGTGCCTGGCGGTTCCTGCATGCTCCAGCCTCACCTCTGGCTGCCCCGAGGACGCGCGGGCCTTACGCATCTGCCGTCGGGGACCCGGGACCCGAACTTTCTGTGGGGCGCCTCTCTCTCCCTGGAAGCTCATCCCTCTGCCCAAGATGGTACTTGGGAGAAGCAAGTGGAAACATTCGTTGAATTAAGGAAAGAAAGAAAGAGCAAAATGCCCAAGGCTGTTCTAACGGAAATCGTGGTAAGTTGAGGCCACCCAGCGGCCGGTAGCTCTGGTAGCCCGTAGCGGCAGAGTCTGACGGTACAAGAGGCAGCCGAGCAGGGCGCTGTCCCATCTACGGGCCACCAGCCACCGGCTGTCCCCTAGGACACCTGCTCCACGGAAATCGGGGGGGCCAATCGCTCAGTCCAGAATCCTTGCTTTCGTTCGCTCGACGCTCCAGTCAACAATTACGGAGCCCCGGTGTCGGTGACTCCCAGGGCTCGTGGAGCAGCAGTGAGGGACGCAGCGTGGGAGGAGGCCCCGCACACTGTGAACGTTGATTCTAAGTGTGGAAAGCCCGGAGCCCAGGGCCTGGGATTCCTCCTCTCCTGCCGCCCCAGCCTCTGCTCCCCGACCACACCAAATCTGCCCCCTCTTGCATCCTTGCCCAGGAGGCCTGGTCCCCCAGTAACGGCAGGGCTGGTGTTTGTGACTGAGATCCTTGCCCTGCCACATGGCCTTGAATGGGCCCCACTCCTTGCTCCCGCACCCTCTGGCACGCCACCCTGCGGGCAGGGCCTTGCTCGTTCATTTGCCTGTGGCCTGTCTCCAGAGAGCAGTGTCCGCACTCGGAGGGCGCAGGCCAACACGTAGCAGGTGCCCGGCAAACGCTGAGGTGCCGAGATCCCTGGACGCGGAAGGAGAGGTGTGGGTGAGCGGCCACCCATGGACGCGGGGCTGGTCTCAGTACCCGATGCTGAATTCTGATGCCCGTCGAAGAAGTCCCTGAGCCATGACTCTGCCCTCCCTATGATCTGTGGGCGCCCAGACCCCAGCGCCCTCCGGGCCACCCGTGGCCAGAGCCCAGCTGCTCCCCAGCTTCAGACTTTGTTTCCCGAGGAAGCTGCATCCTTGCCTAGTTACAGTCGCTGTGGTGATCATCTAAGGGTTTTTCCAAATTTAAAATTCATCTGCAGACCTGACCGATTTTACTGTGGCTCAAAACTGCTCCCATGTGAGAAGTGATGGCTCTCAGGGTTGGGGCTGTCACGGACGTGGGTGGTAAGAGGAGCCGCGCCCACCACACTAGTCGCGATCTCGCTGTTGTGCGTGGGTGGCAGGGGGTCGCGGACTGACCCCTGCGATCATTCAGTAGAGCATCTGCCCCAGTCCCATGCGCTCCTGCCGTGCACACCTGCGGGACTGGTGTCTGGGTCAGCGGCTTCGTCCACGCTGATGGGAGGCTCCCTGCAGCCCCAGCCCGCTTCTGGGACTGCCTGCCCCATTTCCACAGAGTGCCCACGATGCCCTCACCCTGCTGTGTCCTCACCAGCATCCATGCCCTCCCCAGTCGCCAAAGAGACTGGGCATTGGGTACGCAGAGTCCATCCCAGCCAAGTGTCCAGACCTTGACGCTGAGTCCAGCATGTCTGCACCTCTGTGCCTCCCGGAACCCACCACACATGGTAGCCCACTGCCCCGGACCCTCAATGCCCCGGACGCTCAGTGCCTCCGACAACAGCCCCCTTCCTCTGACAGCAGGCCCCCACACCCCTGACAGCTACAGTCCTTCCACGTGTCACTGTGCTCTGCAGGACATTGTGCCTGTGTGAAGGTCACAGCTCCCCCACAAGTTGGCCGTGGCCCCCCAGTGAGCTTTGCGTAAGCCGTTGCTTCGATGTTGCAAGAATTCAGCACTGCCAGCTCGAACTGTTAATTTTAACAATCTATTCTGATTACCCAAATGGCCCAGCTTGCAAGTAGCCTGTGAAAACCAGCTCCCGATCCTCTCTGGAAGCCAGAAACCAAGTCATTACTGCAAACTTGGCGCCGTTTTCACGGCTCGCTTTGGGGTTTTGTGTTGTTTTTATCCTGCCGGTTGGACACTAACTTTGACTCAAGTGTCCCAGTGGTGAGGTTATTTATATGATCCCTGTGCGTCCTCCGGATGGCTGTCTTTTGTCGCCCCGTTTTGTTATTTATCGTCGCTCTCGTTTCAGCTTTGAAAGGAACGATTTTAAGCCCTTGAAGGTTGCGCTGAATTCAAGAATGGTGCGATGAATCTGGCATTCCATTGCCTCCCCGGCGCTCAAAGCCCTCCATGGGGACACGTGCCCGCGGCACGTGTGGGGGTAAACCATGCCGGGATCTCAGGCTGCCCCCCAGCGTTGGCCGCACCGGGGACGCCGGGCCCCACCTCCTCCTGAGAGCCTGTGAAGATAATGCCCACTGGCTTCTTTGCGATGTTGGGTAGCCCATCCCTGCTTACTCTCCTGGCGCCTAGAGACCATGTTCTTCTAGAACCGAGAATCCTACGTGTAAACCTCAGTGGAACATATGGATCCTTCATGAGGGCTTAAAATTCTCAGAGGCAGGTGCCCTGCAGTGTCAGAGATAAACCGCCCCACGAACCCGCTTCTCGGCATCTTCAGGAACGTCTGTCTGCGAGGCCACTGAAACCCGTGCGAGGGGGCGTTCGTGTGGCCACACGGGCTGGCTTTCCTTCCCGGCTTGGGAGTCAGACTCAGGCCCTCACGGAACTTCAGCACCTCCAGCTTTAAAACGGGAAGCAGCATGTTCTCTAACCACTGGTGATTGCATTCATCAAGGTGCTTGGTTTCAAGGGGCAGAAAACAGCAAAAGGGAATTTGAGTTGTGCACACAACTGAAGCGGGCTTCAGACATGGCTGGATCCAGCGCTCTCCTGCCTTGGTGCTCCTCTGCATTGGCTTCATTTTTGGTTTACGGGGGGAAGGCCGCTGGCTGCTCCAGCCTCATCCCTCATGGGGGCAGCATGGCTGCGGTGCTCCAAACTGACCTCCGCTGGGGCCTGGGTCCAGTAGGCAAGGAGTGTCTGCCCCGTCTCCCCCAGCATCCCAGGGCAGAAATGTGCCAGGCTGCACACCCGGAGGCCAACTGCCGAGCATCTGGAGCTGTTCTATTGCCCTCGGGACAGGGCCGGGTCCCCAGCACAGTCGGAGTGCTTCCCGGGAGAGGTGGCCACAGACGCCAGGCAGGCAGGCCGTGGTACTTGCTGGGCATGGTCTGGGGGCCGAGGGCTGAGGACGTTGCATTTCAGTTCTGTGTGACCCCACCGCGGGGTTTAGGCTGCCGCCGTCCCGAGACACTGGTTTGGTGAAGTGGGTAACGTTTCTTATTTTGTGGAACACGTGGCTTTGCTTCAAGTAGCTGGAGGAGGGCCGCCCCCCCGCCACAGGCTGAGCGGCCGAGAGCCTGCAGATGCTCGGGGACCCCCATCTCAGGCTCTCCTTGGGGCCCGGGGAGATGGCAGCTGACCTTCAGCTACTTGGAGGTCATGTCTGCTTGGTGGCGTCTTGTTTCCCAGGCAGCTTTGGGCACCTGGGAGACGGTGATGCCCCCGCCCCGTCCCCGAGGCTTCAGGAAGGATTGTCCGGCTCTCCCGGGCCCAGCCCCCTTCTGCGTGTGACCGCCTCTCCCCGGAGGAGCAGGGCCTCCCACCGGCCCGGCCGGTCACCATCAGGGCACGCTTCCCCGTTCCGACAAAGAGCATCCCAGCCAGCCGGCGTTCATCCCGCGTTTGCCCGAAGGGGAGAGGGATGGGAACTGGGCTGGGTCCTTAGAGTGGAGTTTGACCCACACCCCGATAATTCAGACATTCCTCTGATTCTCTGTCTTCCCCCTGCTTTAAACATTGACTCTTTTCTTTTTTTATCGTAAAAAAAGGCTCAGGTTGAAGCTAAGAAAGAACATGAAGGTGCCGTACGGCTGCTAGAGGTAAGTGCCGGAGCCCTGGCCACCGGCCTCGAGGGCGGGTGAGATCGGAAATGGGGGGGGGGGCGCTCGTGAGCGTCCACTGGGCACCAGCCACTAGTGCTGCTCGCCCACCCCCCGTGCGGCCAGCACGGGGACCACACAGAGAGGCGAAGCCATGTCCCCACCGTCACACAGCCCACCGTGGAGCTGGGGGCCTCACGAAACCCGCCCTCCCCCGCGGGCTCCTCTGGGGGGCATGCAAGGGGGAGGAGGCCACGCTCTCGCTCGGGATGAGGAGAAGGTGTGGCTGTGGGTGGAACCGTGGGCGGTGCTCTTCCAGGGACAGCGCTGATGCTAGGGAAGCGCTTGGCAGGTGCAATCTGGGGAGGCGTTTGCAGAATTAGGGAGGGGACAACCTGGGGAATCCGTATGGTGGGTGCCAGCCGAGGCAGGGCCACAGTACCACCCGCAGTGAGCCCCGTGTGGGGGGCTTCCCGTGGCCGCAGACAGAGGCCAGGCAGCCCCAACCCCTTCCCTACGGATACATAGGCGGGGGTGGCCCCGCGTGGGCCTCTGTCCCCAGATACGGGGGGAGGATGGCCCGTCCTTTGCCCCCAGGGCCATGGCGGCACAGAGCGCAGTGTGTGCCTCTCCCAGTTCTCTTGCGTCGCCTCATGACGTCCATTCCTCCCGCAGGGGAAGCTTCCACTATTACCATGGTATATATTGGAAGTGATTTTGTGAGAGCGGCCATTAGCTAATGAATATCTGGAGGGGTGAGTGTGATGACTGGTAGGGGGAGATCTATCACCTGAGGGAATGGCAGCAGACCCCCAAACGGCCACGCTTCTCCCTGAAAAATACCCACCCCTGCGCGCCGCCCCCCCCCCCACGCCCATTCGGATGGCCTCCTGGCTGCAAGCGCACCTCCTCGCCTCGGTCGCTCGAGGCCCACTGACCGGCTGTGTGTGTGTGCCCCTGCCCTCTGGGGCCTCCTGGCTGGAGCTGGGCCGGGGGTGCTGAATGCTTTGGCATGGGGGTCGCACTGGAACACGCTTCGGGGGGAGCAAGTGCAGACGTGCCGAGAATCCCGCGTCTTCTTTACGAAGTATTCCCGTGGTTGTGTCTTGCTTTGCGCTTCCCACAGGACACGCTGGATGGCGTGCAGGTACTCGAGGGCTCGTGCCTCCCCCGTGCCGGTGTGCTTGGCAGTGCTTTCCCTCGTGCGTGGGGCAGCCACGGGTGTCTGGGCCCGCTCAACCCACCTCTTCCCCCGAAGCCGGCAGCCCCGAGCTTCCTCCGGATGCAGGGCGGGGGGGCTCCTGGGGGCCGGGGGTGTGAGGATCCGCGGGCAGAACCTCCCTGGCGGGGGGCACTGCCAACTGCCCGCCAGGCCCCGGGACACAAGCTCTGTTCCCGCAAGTGTTGAGCAGGCCCAGCAAACCGGGTCTCCCGTTTCCCACCGCGGCCGTAAGGGTCAGGCTGGGAGGACAGCCCAGAACCCCGATGACCGCAAGGGGTGGGGTGGGAGGTGGGGACGCTGATCCTGCCCTCGGGCCAGCCATGCCCAGCACGCGGCCCATCTGTCGGTCATCGGGATTCCACCTGGCCCCGGGAAGTTCCACCGCTGTGTTTGTGTCTGCCGTGTGTGTGGCCGGGGCCCTCCTGCAGGCGAGGCCACTGCCCCTCTCACTACCTCCGCCGAACAGGATGAACAGCGTTGTCCCTCTGAACAGAGTTTTGAGTGTTTCCCAAAACTCTGAGTTTGATCGCGTATTCACAGAAGGGATGATTGTCCCACTTTGAGGAGGAGTGGTTCTCAAAGTGGGGTTCCCAGACCAGCAGAGTCGGCATCAGCTGGGGGCTTGCTAGAGATGCAGATTCTCAGGTCCCACCCAACCCGTGGAGTCAGGAAGTGTGGGGGGGCACCCAGAAACCTGGGAGGGACACAGCCACCCTCCCCTCCCCCCACTCCCGGGGGCAGTTCTGACGCAGCCGCTGTCTGGGAAGCATTGCTTCGCGTCCGTGAGGCTAGTCTGGGGACGGAGGGCCTAGGGGACGAGCCAGTGCACTGCACTGGAGTCTTGGCCCATCCATAGCTCAGCGTCTTGGTGACCTGAACCTCCACCCCTCCCACGTGCGTGCATCCTGAGTGGCACGCTGGGGACTCCCCTGAGTCAGGTGCTCTCCTCAGCAGAACAGCCGCCCCCTTGCCCAGCGAGACGCTCACACGGGGCTCCAAGGGTTGTCTCAGCAAACGTGCGGCAGCAAACCCCCTCCCGGTGGCGGTCCATGCACAGCCAGTCTGTGGGTGTTCCTGAGCCCTGTGTTCTGATGAGCGAATGGCCAGGGTGTCTGGGGATGGGAGGAGGGGGGCAGTCTCCATCCCCATTAGGACGCGTGCAGAGTCCCAGCACCCGCGGAATCATCCGGGCTTACTGTGCGGCCTCGCCAAGGTGGGCGTCAGGCATTAGCTGAAAATAGAGCTTTTCCAGAATCAAGACCGAGCACTCTGTGAACTGCAGAGAAGGCACCATTAGGGAAACAGTGTCCGCCGCACTTCACTGGGGAGTTATTTCAAGACAAAGAAGCAAGAGAACGTTTTAAAATGAATAATAATGACAGTCCAATGACAGTGACCTGCGGTTCCCTGAACACTCACTTTGTGCCAGGCGCTGTTCTAAGGGCGCATCTGGGTACATCTAGGACACGGTGCGCATGTCGTGTCACTTAATCTTCACGACAACCCAGGGGGAGCCGAGGCACAGGTGACTGGCCCAAGGCAAGCTGGTAAGAAGCGAGTCTGGACTCAACCCCAGGAGTTTGGTGCTGCTTTGCAGCTGCGTCCCAGCCTCCCTGGGAAGTGGGGTCAGCTCTCCTGCCGGCAAAACTGCAGCAGGCGTTGAACTGTGAATGAGTTCACACGGTGGCGAGACCCAGAAGCGCTGCCTTCCCTGGCAGGGGCGCAGGCCACGTGGACACTGTCCACCAGGCACTAGACACGCGTATCGGATTTAGTCCGCAGACCCCCCCCCCAGTGAGGTCGCTACCATCATCATCCTCTTCCCGGATTGGAAATCAGGCACAGAGACTGAGTCCCTTGCCCCGGGACGCACAGCTTGCAAGAGCAGAGCCAGGCCGTGAGGGAAGGAGGGCCAGTGGGCGGCGCTGTCTGAGGCTGCTGAGAAGGGGTGCAGGGGAGCAGTGCCTGTGTGCGGGGTTCGGGGGCGGTGGGCTCCGGGCCCGTCACAGGGGAAAGCCCCGGGATGAGCTTGCTCTCACCACTGTCCGTGCTGTGTGCTTTGTGTGTGTGTTCTGTATGCTTTTTGCCTTATTCTTCGGGGCACCTTCCCAGCACCTCCCCCGTGGTCGCCCTGCTTGCTGGCCGTCAGCTCCGGGATGAGGCTTCAAACTGCCTGTGACGCCAGATGCTTTGTCCCAGCTGGGAAGGAACCTGCGCAGGCTCCTTTCATCCTGGGTCTCATTTGGGGAGACTTTGATGAGCAGACAGTGCGCCCCCTAGCCCAGGCCGGCATGGGGTCTTCTCGGGGCAGGCCCAGCATCCGGCAGCGCTGGGACCTTCCTGGGCCTGGGCCCCCTTGCCTCACGAGTCCTACCCCTTCCTCCATAAAAGTACTAAAACTTACATTTTACATGGACCTGCCTGGGGGTAAAGAGGTTATAGTCCACACTGGATTCATTATTATTTGTTCGTTTCCGATTTCAAAGGAAACTGAAATGAAAACATTTGCGTGGGTCCCTAAATGTACCGGCCCCACGTCGCTGGGCCTAAGGGGGGCGTCACCCTGCTGGGCTGGTGTTAGGACACTGAATGACCATGTGGCAAGTGAGTGTGCGTGTGGGTGAATGAGCGCATGTGGGAGGACACGGGCTTGGTCCCGTCAGAAAGATGATCCCGGTTCTCAGAGGCTCAGGTCCCAGCCTCACATCGAACATATGAAGGTCGTTCTCTGTCGGCACCGTCCGCTGCCAATCGGGGAAGGCCCCGGAGAACTCCCCCCCAAGTGATGCCGTGGGGATGCCGCAGGGGGATGATGCGGGGAGGGCGCGGGGGGATGACTTGGGGACAATGCAGTGAGGGCGCGGGGACGACCTGGGGATGCAGGCTCCTGCATCTTGTGACCATGCCTCCTGGCGCATGGGGCTTCTTGGTGACCACAGCAGGGACAGCTCCTACCTGCTCTGCTGTGTCACCCCTGCACCGGCCAGAGCCGGTGACACTTCACTGCAGGAGAGGCCGGAAGTGCCATCTCCCTGGGCTCAGGGAATGAAACCAAACGTGGTTGACCCGCGGCATCATCCCCGCCCTGTCTGAACTCTAGAATCCTTATGGGACAATGCGATTTTGATACGAAGTGTGCAGAATAGTAGCCAAGTTGAGAATCTCAGAGGTGGACACCTAACGATTTGTAATTAATGTTTTATATCTGACACGTCTTCGGAAGCCCCTGACCCCCCGGGGCTCTGTGCCCCCAGAATAGCCTTAGCAGCCCCATACCCTGAGGCTTCGCTGTGAGATGAGATGGTTCGGGACAGGGAGGCCGTGCGTGCCCCGATGCTTGGGAGCTTGGCTGCCCTGGGACTAACCCTCACTCCAGCTCTGTGTCCCAGGGGCCACCGCCTGACCCCTCCCCGCTGTTGGCACCCCGCAGGTGATACAGATATTCTGAGGTCCCACCAATGACAGGTGCTTATCTGCACACGTAATACTACGTGACAAATGCACATCCGTCCGGAAACAGGGAAACTCCGGCGATCCAGACCCACCAGCTTAGAATTCACTGCCATTTCAGTTGGAGAATTGGACAGATGCTGAATCACATGAACCAAAGCAAACGTTGAAGACACTTGTGCTAGAGACAGGCATGGTGTAGAATGCTAACCATCAGCCCAAGAGAAGTCTGCACTCACCAGAGTCTCCCCTTGGTGACGGCATCATTCCATTCAGTCTCGAAACTGCATCGTCCTGCAAAGATTCTGGAGTTTGGAGCAATCAGTTGGGAAGATCCTGGAACTCAGCCTGTGGAGGTGAACGGACGGGGGATTTCCCATGTGCTGTAGAGCTGGGATTTCTCATGTGCTGTAGAGCTGCCGGCAAGAGCCCGCGGAGATGGAGTATTAAACTGGCAGTGGAAGGTACTCCTGAGTTGGGCATCACTGTGAAAACGACACAGAGTATCCCTGTTGATGATGACACGTAGGGAATTCTGGTAGCCTCGCACGGGCTCAGACGTGCTCTTACACCTTGCTGAAAATCGACGTCCAGGCAACCAGTCGGGGGGAGCTCGGGTGTCTGAGTTGCTAGGCTAGCTGCAACCCCCTCCCCTCGGTGTCTGCACTGCGGCTTTGCCCCCAGAGAGGGGGAGACTGCCGCTTCTGCTAATGGAGCCCCTCCCACACCCCCCGGGGTCTGACTTTGCAATTCCCCATTGGGTTCTGGAAGACACGCTTCACCCCATGTCCTAGGTGGAGACAGGCCCACAGAGGCTGCAGGACATGCCTCTGGGTCCCCATGAGTGGGGGGGGGACCCGCAGTCGGAGAGGCCTGGGTTTGTCCGGCCCCTGCCTGGGTGTGCGACCCCTGGCTTTTGTGCATCTTGGCCTTGTTTTACTCCCCGTGCCGTGGGCTCATACCACCTGAGCCCGTGGTCTCCCTGGCCATCAGCGAGGCCGACAGCACCCGGCACAGAGCGGGTGGACGCCCCCGAGTAAGCAGCTCGGCAATCAGGATGCCACACGGAACCTGACTTCTGTGCGCTCCCACACCGGGGGCCCAGCCTGCCCAGGACGCCCCTCGTTCTCCCTGCTCCTCGAATGATTCACGGCCACTCCGCACTCTCCACCTGGCCTGGCTGGACCCAGGGCCCAGCCCCCCACGTGGCTGTCCTCTACGAAGCCCAGAGATCTGATGTGGAATGCGGACGGGGCACAGACGGCTACAGTCACGCTGGGATGTGTTTTCCTTCATCTTTATAAATACCCACGACCACATTTGCAAGTCTCTGTGTGTCTTCCAGGGATAATTTACTTGCCTGATGTCTCTGCCATCTGTTACCGTCGCGGTCTGCGCGGTCCCCGTCCCCTGCAGGTGGCCAGCTCCCCGGGGGGCCACCCGTCCAGGAGGTGACAGGGCTCTGGATGCTGAAATACATACCGATGTGCGAAGAAGCCAGCCGGGCCGGTCGGTGGGGTCGCTGCCGCCTTGCTGCTCCCTGGGAAGGCGATCCTCCTGCTGGTGACTCAGGGACCGGGGGAGCGGGGCTGCAGCCAGGCCAGGACACCCAGCTGCTGGGGGCTCCTTCAGGAAAAGCTGCCTTTCTTCCGGAAGGCAGGAAGCCGGCTTCCAGAGGGAGCGCCCTCCTGTACGAGATGCACTTTGGGCGTAACGGGTCCCCGGCTCCCCAGACCACTGAGATCAGGCACCAGAAGCTCCTGGGCTCCTGTGGCCCCCCGGCCATTTTCTCGGGCACCTGGAGGGGGGACGAGGCAGGTAACAGCCGAGGAGAGCTGTGGTTAGGTGTGGCCTGCATGGCTCCTCGAGTCTCTCTGGAAGCAGCAGGAGGAGGTGGGAGAGGCCTGGCCGCCCCCCTGCAACTTTGCTCCAGGTTGTGCTGAAGGCAAGGCTCCCACACGTACAGACACGGGTTAAGCAAACACTCTGATGAGCAGGCACATCTGTGTGTGTCCACAGCTCCGCGACGTCCTGCCTGCATCCTGGGGACCTCCCACCACCAGTGTGCCTGGAAGGCTCACTTGAGGGAAGCAGGTCAAGCTGACGGGCCTGGTCCAGGAGGCCTTGGGGAACCAGAAATCCTCCGAATCTGCATCTGGACACAGGACCATTCAGAGGCTTGTGGCTTCTGTTTCAGTCTTGGATCCTGTCCACTCGAAGGCAGGATGACACCACGAAGTTTGAGCCAATTGACGTATCTTGAATACCTTTAATGTCACCAACAAATGCCCGTTTCTCCCATTCGTCATGCTTAGGGAAAAGCTGATGTTTCATCAGGGTTTTTTTCCCCTGATATCGTCCCCACAAATGAGCGTGGCTTGGGCACCGATGGAGACGGGGTGGCTGACGTCTTCGGGGCAGCTGCGTTCCTAATGTCCGCACTGCCCACCCCTGGGATGGGAGTCTCAGGAGCAACAAAGATTGTTCCGGAGTGGAATGCCAGCTCCCCGGGACACATGCTCTTCATCCAGAAGACTGGGCCCCCAGAGCCCCAGACCCTGTGGGGGATCCTCCTGCGTGTCCAGGGCTCGCACGGGCACAGTTGGAGGCCATCGCCTGGGCCACAAGGCCACCCAGCCAGCCTGACCAGGTGCCGGCTGGGAACGCTCCCCGGGTTTTCGTGCCTAGGGTCACCGAGTGGCCGTACCGTCTCCAGACCGGCCTTGTCAGCCCAGACTGTGGATGGGCCTTTGCCAACATTTAAACATGGAGAGATCTTTACATTAAAACAGAGACTCTCTTCTCCTTTTGGAAGACTGGAAGTTTAGCCCCCGTGGGTCTGGACCAATGCCGAGCAGGTGCCCCCTCCGGCCAGAACGTGCATGCTCCCGTTCACTGTGTTCCCCAGCATCGCCCTGCTCGCCCGTGCTCCCTCTGGCACTCCCACCAGCCTCTGTGGTTGTCTGGGTACACCGACACGCCCACCCACTCCTCGGACTGCATGGTCAGCACGTCACCAGCCACTCCTCAGAGCGCCATGTCCGGGCCAGCCGCCGGGAAACGCACAGCCCAGTCACCATCGGTGAAGAGGACCCCTGAACAAAGAGACACAACCTGGCAGGAGGGGGTCACTGAGGGCAGTTCCCAGGAGCTCGGAGGCTACACTTGCTAGCAGTGGGTGCCAAGGATGCCCGTGCATGGTGGCCCATGACAGGTGCTGCCGTCAGGCACCTGCACGCGGCCCCGTCCCCGGGCATGTCTGCGTCCTGCAGGGTCTGGCCGGGAGCGCACGTCGCCCCCTCTGCCTCGGGGCCCCACCCCCTCCCAGAGCGCCACGCCACACAGCCCCAGCAGCTGGCCGCTGGTGACAGGCGTGTCTCGGATGCCAGGTTCCAGGGAGGCCCGTGAGGACCTCGGCCATGCTCCACGGGCACCACCGGACTTTGACTGCCCAGGCCGGGGACCTACAGCATCATCTCATATTGTTAAATCTGTTCACATCTGGATTTCTCCTGTTTTTACGTTCCTTTAGCGTAGAGTCCCCGGAGCTGGGTGCACACAGGGATTCCCGTTGCCACAGTGGGAATGCGGATACCCGTCACCCCCTGCTCTTACTCTGTGCGTCGTGCTGTCCGCGGCCCCAGCCCGGACGACCGCCGACCTGTCCTCCATCACTCTGGCTTTGTTGTTTCTAGGATGGCATGGAAGTGAAGCATCCATGTGCTGTTTTTAGTAGGTGGTACCGAGGATTTGATCTGCCGGCCTTTCTCCTAACGCAGGTGAAAATGCGTTCACGGCCACTTAAATAGTGCTCATGTTCTCCCACCAGCCACCAAACATTCTCGCACACCTGGACAACCCCGGTGAGCTCAGGGCCCCCCGTGCCCGCTTGCTCTCCTCCTCTGAGGACGCTGCCCGTCCCTCAGGGTTCACGGCTCTGCCCTGGAGCGAACGAGTTGGGAGTTAGGGCCCTCGGCCTCGGGGCATCTGACGGGTTACTCTGTTCTGGGGTCGGCCCAGCTGGAGGCGGGTCTGACGCGGTTCCCTGTCCCCCGCCCGGGGCCCGGGAGTGCGGAGCTCACTTCTCTGCCTTGGCGGAGGCAGCAATCGCTGATAAGCTCATTCAGCTTTTTAGAAGAAGAATCCTGCTGATTTTTTTTTTTTTAATGAATCGAAGAAATTAATTATAGGCTTGGGATTTGTTAGGTTTATTTTTGGAAATCCCTGTTCTCAGACATAAATAGCACTTCATTCTATACTAAGGAGCTGGAAAGCTTAATGCCACAGGAGGGGAGAGGAGGGTGGGGAGATGGGGAGGAGGGGGGAAGGAGGGGTACAGGGGGAGAGGAGGAGGGGCAAGGAAGCAGAGAAGGGGGAGAAGCATGTCTACCGCTGTCCTCCACGGGTCGAGGGCTGTTCCTGGCCGTCCCTCAGTCCCGCACACACACCCATATTAAACCAAAGATCTACTGGATGCTGACTCGGTACCAAGCTCCGTTCCAAGTGCGGGGGACGCATCGGGGAAGCAGCAGACGATCCTGCCCTCGTGGAGCTGACATGTTAGCCGGGGACCAGGCAACACACGGAGTTAACAATGCAGCAGATGGGATTCTCCATTTATCATGGAGTAAGGAGCGGAGACAGGCAGGACTCCATCCATGCAGACGAAATGAGCCACCGCACCGCAGATCCGCAGTCCCCTCTTTTCACGGATTTGGCAAACACTTACTGAGCACCTACTATGTGCCCGATTCTGTGAAAAGCCCTGAGGATGTATCGGGGAGGGAAGCAGAGAGAGAGAAGGCTTGGAGCTTCCCATCCAGTCTGGAGACAGACGAGAAGTAACCAGGGGCTCGCGTACCACGGGGGCGGTGAGCACCACGCAGAGAGTGCCTCGGGGGGAGGGGGCAGAGCCGACCCTCCACATGTCCCTCCACGGTGCGTGCACCCAGCTATAGACAGTGCAGGCACTCTGGTCGCTGAGACAGAGCCCTGTGTCTGCACCAGGATAGGAAGTGTGGTCCATGAGCGTCTGGGGAAGTGTCCATATCAAGCCAGCCAACCTGAGAGCCCGCGGGACAGCAACGGGACAGGAGCGGGGTCAGAAGGGAGCTGCCCCGGGCTGCCCCTTCCCTGCCATGTGTCCGAGGGAGCCCACCCCTGTCCCCAGGGCTCCGGAGACATCCCTGCATGTCTGCAAATGTTGCTGTGTTGCTAACCAAATCCAGCAGAAAGAAATTCCTTTTTATTGCTAGAGCAGTGTTCCTTGGGACTCTGCAGTCTAGGGGTGGGCGCCCCCCTGAGAAAAATGCATCAGTGGATTGGCAACTGAGCTGCCCCCCAAGTCTGGGCTGTGTCACCACCTCACACTCCAAATTTCAAACGGCTACGGCAGGACGTGCCAACCACAAGGGCCCAAGCTGAACACAGAGCCCAGAACAATCCACGGTTGGCTGGGATCTGAGTGTTTGTAGGGCTTCGCGGCGTGTGTGGTTTCCCACGTCCGGCCGGGGAGGGCACTTGGCCAGCAGCCAGGCTGCACAGGATGCCTGGTTTTATCAGACGCTGTTCTCCCACGGAGGTGGGAGGTGGCTCGCCGCCACACACGCGTGTGCATGCGTGTGCACACGCACACACCCGTGTGCACACCCATGCACACACGCCTCCCCCACTCCTGACCGTGTGTCCGTGCCTCTGCCGTGCAGAGCAAGGTGCGGGAGCTGGAGGAGAAATGCCGGACGCAGAGTGAGCAGTTCCGCCTGCTGTCGCAGGACCTGGAGAGGCTCCGGGAGCACGCGGGGAAGATCGACCTGCTGGGTGGCAGTGCTGGGGCCTCCTTGGACGTCCCCGCATCCGGCAAGCCTTTCCCGCAGTTCATGAACGGACTCGCCCCCTCCATCGGCAAAGGTGAGTGCCTGCCCCGCCCCTGCGTCGCGTTGTGGAGCAGGGATGGCCAGCGACCCCACAGCGGGGCGAGCCCAGTGCGTGTGTCTGACTGCCTGCGCTGGACACCCGGCATCGCGGGGCTCCGGGTGACGGCAGGCCCCCAGCAGCCACTGGGCATGCCCGCAGCACCAGCCCCTGCTCCGAGCACTCGCGGGTGCCAGTCCACGTGCTCTTGGCACGGCCGCGTGTGGCAGGTGCCGTCCTGGTCCTACTCGGCAGAGAGCAAGACTGAGACCCTTGCCTGGGTCACACAGCTCCTGGCAGTGAGCTGGGGAGCTCCCGCCCGGGGCCGTGAGGCACACTGCTGGGCCGTGGCCCTCTCCGCCTTCGTGCCAAGCAGCCTCCGCGTGGGGACGAGGTCCTGCCGCGCGAAAGCCGGGAGGGTCACAGTGGTGAACGCCCGCTCACGCTCAGGAGGTGGGGGGTGGGGGGCAGCGCGGTTCGACCTTGCATGCCGGGGGAGGGATTTTGCCTTTGTATCTGGCTGAAAGACCACCGGGGTCTGCACACGGCCTCACTGCGGAGCTCCTGCCTAGACGCAGAGGGCTGCCTGGGCCGTCAAGGAGCACTTTCCTCGCCCAAGGGCGAGCCACACGAGTCACCCTGGTTGCAAGAATACCCGCCTGTTCAAAACTTGTTGTTTTAATTAAGGGGAGATGAGTGTCAGACTCCCCCTTTGGAATTCCATAAAGGAGAGAATTTCCAGATTTCTTCCCCTTATCATCAAAACAGAGGATGAGGTTTCTTCAGTGGTTCATGATATTACAACGAAGCGATGCTGCCTGTATCTTGATAAATCACCTTTCCCTGCGTGGCTCCCGTTGGTGCCGTCCTTCCTGTGTCCCTCTCAGCCATTAGCTGGCATGTCACGTGGCTGTGAACAGCAGGGTGGGGGGCGGGAGGTTGGCAAGTCCCTCCGCAGCGTCCCGAGCACATGGTGCACCCAGGCCGGCTCTGGGGCCTGCGGCTGCAATGTCAGCCGGCCGCCGGGCCGCACACGGAATCTCCTCTCGGTGGGTGCAGACACGAGAAGCAAGGGGACAGAGGAATGGCTCGGACAGATGTGTGGGGACAGGGTGACAAGGTAGAAGGTGACCCAGGGCTACGTTAGATCAGGCGGCCTCAGACGCCCGCCTCCAGGAAGTGACATTGGGGCCATGTTGCCCGAAGGCTAAGGCGAGGCAGGATGGTTTCAGCTCTTACTCCGTGAGACGAACGTTCTCAGGGTGGGTGGCCATATGTTTGGCCGGTACGCATTTTTCAAGACCCCAACACGTTTGGTGACTCCCAGGACTCAGAACCGTGCTTAGAGCTCTGATGGCAACACGGGATGGCGACACGGTCAGATCCTAAGGGCAGAGACAGGATGCCTGCAGGATCCACGCAGGCCACCGGAGCGCCCCGTGCAGGCAGAGCTCCTGCCCAGGGAAGCTGTGGGGGATGCGGCGTCCAGGGTGTAAGTAGGGGCTGGTCACATGGTGCCTCTGCCTGGCGCGCACCGGAGCCCCAGACCACCGGGGAAGACAGGTGCTCGGCACAGACCCCATGGGGCCTGGTCACGCTCCCGACCCATGCCGCTGCGTTCGGGCCCTCGGCCAAGCTGCACGTGGCAGGCAGGCCCTTCTCCCCATGGCATCCTGGTCCTGCTGCATGAGCTCCTATGTGCAGAGTGTAGACGCGTTGAGTGTCCAGAGGGGTGGCTCCGGGAAACGGGATACGATTCCTGATGGCGGGAGTGGGCCCTCAGTGAAAGCAAAGCCAGCAGGTGCTCGAGGCACCAAGACTGTTGCTTGGACCCTGGTGGACCAATAAATAGGTTTGTACCACGGTTTCCGGGCAGCCATCGGGAAGAGCCGCCATCCCGATGGACCGAGCTCACGTTACGATGCGCGCGACCTCACCCCGCGAGGGGCCCCCATTGGCAGGGCCCATGCACACTTGGCTTTACCCTTGCCGCACCGGCATCGCTGATGGATGCGTGGAGGAGAGCCCGCAGAGTCCCCCGAAGCCCCACGATCCTCCCGAGGGCGGTCCTCCCGAGGGCATTCTCCAATGGGTGGGCGCCCCGGGGGCCTTGGCAGCTGGGCCCCGCTTTCTTCCCCTGGGTGTGAGGGGAGCATGGAAGGGCCAGCCTGAGGCAGAGAAGGACTGTGGGCAGATGCGTGGCCCACCCGCTCTGCGTCCTCCTGCCCAAGACCAGCCTGACCTGGAGGCTGAGGAGACAGTTGGGGGTTGATGGGGAGCCGCTAAGGGACCGCAGGCTGCGCAGTGGGCCACGTCTGACGTGAGTGCAGGCCCCGCAGTCAAGTCCAGGTCGAATCTCAGGAGAGCCGCGCCCACTGCAGGAGGATTGCCTGGGAGCCAGTGAGGTTGAGGGCGCTGGCGGTTCTGACGGTTTTGCCTCCGCCTCACGCCGGCTCTGAGTGGGACCTGGACCTGGACCAAGGACTGGGCCGCGTCAGCCAAACGTGAACGCGAGGAGACCCCACTGTGTTCATCTTGCATGGTCCGCGCATCCACGCTGCTGACCCCGGCGGTCATCGGTCAGGATGGCCAGGTGCTGCTGTGGCGCACCCCGACCTCAGGGGCCAGATCTGCCCCGCGGCGCTTGGGGGATGGGCTGCACTCTCCTCAGGAGCACTGGAAGGCACAGCCTCTCTCTAGAATGTTCCATCGAAAGGAAAAGGAGGCAGTGGATCACACACCTGCTCACCTCCCCTCACAGGGCGCTGGCCGGACCACCGTGGGTCAGGGTTCGCACCCCCCACGGCCTGGGGCGGGGAGAAGCAGTAATGCTTCGCACCTGCCATTCTGAGGCTTTTGGGTCGCTTCGCACCTGCTGTACGCCGAGCACCTGCCCTTGGCAGAGGGGACAGATGGCGGCGACCCGGCAATGCCCCTGCCCTCCGGGATCTGACCCCCCCAGCAAAGCCCTGTGTTTGTTGTGGCACCGAGTCCAATTCGGGGGCTCTCTCTCACAGTTCCCTTAATCAGGCTGAGCCGCGGGGCCCCTGGCGGGTGGGACACTTCCCGCCTTACACTGAATCACGTGGTATTTCCCAGCTGGGACACAGCAGGTCACATCTTCAGGGAGGCGATCCCGTGGTGTGACGGCTACAGAGGCCGGACGCAATGGGGGGAGATTGCGCTCCTGTGTTTCACGTTGGAACCCTAAAAATGCCTGGCCCTTTGGCCACTTCTTGTGTTAGTTAGGACTCTTTCGGTCATAAATGACAACAAAGCCGACCTAAACTGGTGCGAGCCAGAAGGAACTTACTTGTCGTCAGGATGAGGAGACAGGAGGTCCAGCTCCAGGCACAGCTGGACTCAGGGGCTCGAACCACATCCCCAGGAGGCGCTTCCTCCCCACCTGGCGGCTCCCCTGCTGTGAGCGCTCTGATGGGACCAACTTTCCTCCTGGTGGCAGTGTGGCTGCAGCGTCACCGAGCCTCCCAGCCTCCCGCATGGCAGCCAGGGAAAGGGAGAGCCTCTCTCTCCACGACTCCCTTTAATTCCCTGTGGCGGGAACTTCCCTCCCCACGCGACACCACCGTTGCCCCCAAACCATTCTCATGGCCAGGAGTGGGGTCAGGCTCGCCATGGGGACCCAGGACGGGGGTGGGGTGGTGGGCGGATCCCAACACGGAGCCCCGAGGCTGATGCAGTGAGGGGACAGGCATGCTGGGGGGTCGAAGGACCCGTGTGTGCTGTTATTTCATCTGTGTCCTTGTTAAACTGTCTCATGTCGTGGTCAGCTCAGGAGAGCACCGTCCGAGGCCGCGCCGTGATCGGGGACTACATCCGGCCCCTCCCACCTGCTGGTGACAGGCCGGAGCCTCCATCCGTCAAGCCCGCCTTTCTGTCGAGATCCGCTAGCCCAAGATGCGGATTTGAATCAGACGTGAGTCCTGGTGTGTGTGCGGCTGGTGGCGACGCCAGAGTCCTCCCCCCTTCCTACCTCATCCCTCCTCCTGCTTCTCCCTCCCACCAATTCCCATACCCAGCCTTCACTGATCCTCATGTCGCCGTCTCCATGCGGTCTTCCCGGATGTCTCGGCCTTGGAGCCCCGGGCGCTGTCGGACAGGCGGGCGCGGGGAGTGGTGTCCGTGTCCTGGGGCTGCGCTCCTGTGAGCAGAGGACACGGTCACTCTCCATCTCCATGTCTTCACAGAAGCCTGGCAGGGCCTGGCACACACGCCCGGTCCGCCCAGCAGGTCCCATTCCCCGCAGCGGGGAAGACCCCGCCTCGGGTCCGCTCCTGGCGTGGGAGACGCGTTCCGTATAAATGTCCTCCCGGGTGACTGGGGGCCCACGCTGCGGGAGCCGCTCCATCTCGGGGCTGGTGTCTCACGGGAGCGCCACCATCTGGGGCAGGAAGCTCAGCGGGGCCCGAAGGGTTTCCCGTGTGCTCCTGGCACGAAGCGTAACCCGAACATTGTCTGTGTCTTTAACAGATGGATAATGAACGGAATTCCAATACCTCCAAGCAGAGATACTCGGGGAAGGTCCACTTGTGTGTCGCCCGCTATAGGTAAGCACGAAGCTCCGCTCTGCCCCCCTGGGCGTGGGGGGGCCCCCCGAGGAGGCCATGGGTCTGGGAGCGCTCCCCCTGGGCCCTGGCCTGCAGGCACCAGCTCCACCAGGCTTGGGTGGGGGGGTCCTGTGGTGTCCACACTCGGTGAGAACGCACAGGCCATGGGCTCCGCACGACTCAGAGACGAGCGCAGAGCCACTGTGTCCCCCCCAATTCTCGACCTGCTTCGAAGGAAAGCATCCTGACGCCAGATCCTGCTAGGACAGACACAGCCGCTCAGGAGTTAGACAGAAACGAGCAGACAGGAAACACTTCGTCCCTCCTGTTCTTCACGCTCAACCACGACCCGGCCTCTGGTCCCAGGTGCCCCGAGTCTGTCTGCGGCCCGCTGACACCACCCCCAGCAGAGCCGCAAGCTTCAGGCAGGCGGGAGTGCCCGGAGGTTTAGCCCAGCCCTGTACCTTCCACACCCTTTGTTTTCTCCAAGGGGAGCCATTTGTAACAGCTGTTTTGCTGATTAGCAGATCATTTTCTGATTAGCGATCCATTCACTTTGCCAATGAAAACCCATTTCTGCTGCTCAGATAACAGAAGGGTTTGGAGTCGCTCCCCCGGGGCCACAGGCTTCTCGATTAGGAAACCAGCCAGCCCCGGGGGCGGGCACACCCCGCTCTCAATGCTGGCTGCACCCCACACGACCTGCACTGTCCGTGGGGACGCTGCCCCAGCCCTGGGAGGAGCTGCCGGGCCACAGGGTGCGGGGGGCCTGGGGGGAGGGCTCGGCCTGCCTGTGTCACAGAGGAGGTGGGGCCATCTGGATGCTGAGCTGCGCTCTCCGAGCTGGCTTCCAGGGTCCCGAACCACATACCCCTGCCTCCCCCGCCCTGTGCCCTGGGCTTGCCTTCCCTCCACTCCCCGGGACAGGCCGGGGCTCATTCCGGGGACAGGGGCCCCGAGAGCCGGTGCACCCCGAGGACGCAGTCCATAGCAGCGTGAAACCAGGCACAGAGAAGGCAAGAGTGACTGGCTGGTTTCTGCAGGACACGGCAGCTGCCAACCCCGGCCGGAGTGCACCGCGTCCTCCAGTCCTGTTCCTCGATGGCGCTGTTGACGGTTTCCTGGTGGTGCTTTGATGTCTGTGTGTTTTAGGCCAGAAAAGCCCAAACCGCAGCAAACTGTGAACAGCACAGAAGCTGGGCCCAGAGAGAACGTGGCAGATCCGAGTTCTCTAAATGTGTCCTTAGAGTCCCCAACGGGGCGCTTCTGAAGGAGAGGCAGGACTTTGGGGGGTTTCCTGGCGGCCAAACATCGACATTATTCAACCAGCCTCTGGACAGAAGTTTCTCCAAACTTAGAACAGGAGAAGCCCTGCCCTGGATGTCGCTTCCCGTGGTGGCTGGTATACTCACCTCCCGCCGATGGCCGCCCGCTTGTCCCCACATCTCCTGCCTGCTCCCCAGCCGCCGGCCCAGAACCTCCACCCTCTGTCCAAACAGCTTTGCGGAGGCGTCACTCGCTCACGTGGGACACAAGTCACGGCAGAAAGTGCGCCGCCATGTCCGGATGCCCGCCACCCTCACCTGTGCCTCGCCCTGCGGCTCTGCCTGCTCCCCCGACCCCGCCCCAGCCCTGCCCGGAAAGCCACCATGCTCTCTGTGTCTACAGGTTTCCTGTTGCAGTCGTTGCCCCCCCCCGACCCCCGCACGTGGGTGCGTGGCAGCGTTGGGGCCTTCCCTCCTTTCTGTCTGCAGATCAGGGCACACGGGGTGCTTTATCTGTCCAGCCCCCATGCACTCCCTCCGAGTCCAGGGTCCTGCCTGGGGTGGGCTCTCCATTTGCACACGATGGCTGCCCTCCTCGCCCTCCCTGAGCTTGCAAATTCAGTGAGACACCCCGCACTGACCCTTGCCCTCCCTTCTCCCAGCATCAGCCCCCGCCCGCGGACCCGACTCAGTGCCCGTGTCTCCCTCCGCTCATCCTGACCCACGAAGCCTTCAGCCCCATGGCCCCTCACTCTTTGTGTCCAGGCAAAGCCCAGTCTCGTCACCTCCTGAGCCACTCCCTGATCCAACGTCCTCACCCCATCTCCTCTGCCAGCCCCATGCACAGGGTGCCCCGAGGGTCTCCATAAAATGCAGGCGTGCTCAAGTCACACCCCACCTTAAAACTCCTGATACCTCCCAGCTCTAGAGATCAAATCCACACCGACGACGGGGACCCTGCCAGTCGTTATCCCTCAATGCTCCTGCATTCACCTCCAGCCAGGCTGGCTCTCAGCTCCGGGGAGGGACCCTGCTCCCTGCCCCAGGGCCTTTGCATAGGCCACCCCCTTGCCGGACTGTTTCCCCACTTCCTCCACCCCCCCAGGCTTTCACAGTAAACACCCGTCTGTCTGCTCCTGGTGCAGGTGGCCCCTGGCCATTAATGACTTCCGAAAACCATCAGCCCATTGCACAGCATTCCTAGACCCTGGGACCTGGTTAGGGAGCAGCAGAGCGACTTGGTGCCGTGAAATCTGCACAGGACGGGGATCAGGGGGCCTTACTCTGCTCCCACCCCCGCGACTTAGGGAGCTTGTGACTTTGGGCCGGCATCTCATACCTCGCTCTGTGCTTAAAATTGGGAGAAGTAACACTTTCTCTGCTTTCCTTGCTGAGCACATAAAACCTGTCCCTGATGTATTGGTGAGCCTCCAATGCTGTCGGCGTGTGACCCATCACAGCGTCTCTACTACACGTTTTCAGGACACGGCTGTTACCTTTCACTACCAGGAATGCCGTTTTACTTAGTGGAGCCTTTTCTGTTATTTAAAATTAATTTGATAACCCAAAATTCACCTACCATATATTTTCTTTGCAAATTGAGCATGATTGTAAAAAAAATATTCATCCCAATATTTTGAGGACTTGAGAGGGTGGGCACTCTCATACCCTGAGGAGGGGGGGAGGGCAAAACAGTGCCTCCGTGTTTTGCAGGACATTTTGGCAGTAGGCACCCTGAACGTTAAAAATATCCATGCCTTTGAGCAAACAAATATGCTTCCTAGAGATTTACCTTTAGGAAGAAATTGTGGAAGTGTGCAAAGATATGTTTAGAAGGATATTTGATGCAACGCTGTTCAGATTAACCAAAGGTTAGAAGCAACATCAACGCCCAACGTTGTTGGGACATTGGTTAAGCGGCGTGAGTCAGTCTGTTCAGTGAAATACTCCGCATCCATTAACAAGGACGCGATAGAATATTTCATGAGGCGGAGGGAGGGTCCCGCTCTATGGGAAAGTGTGAAAAATAAGCAGATTACTAAAAAGCCTATGTAATATGATTCCACTTCTGCTAAATAACATACACAGGAAGATTATAGGGTGCATGATCTTCTTTTTTGCTTCCTAATCTGAGCACGTGTCGTTGTGGTAGACGCGACAGGTAGGAGCAGAAAGACGGAACTGTCAATGTGTCATCCGGCTCCCAGACCCACACGTACACCACCTTGGTCTGGACCCGCGTGGGCGAGCGGGCGTGCAGGCGCAGGGGGGCGGGGGCAGGCGCCGCATTGGCCTCCACGCGGAGCATCTACTCAAGAGAGTCCTTCCTTCCTCCAGCTACAACCCTTTTGATGGGCCCAATGAGAACCCCGAGGCCGAGCTGCCGCTCACGGCGGGGAAGTACCTCTACATCTACGGGGACATGGACGAAGACGGCTTCTACGAAGGTCGGTTGGGGGTGCGGGGCGGTGGGCGCGCCGGGGCGGGCCACCTGCCTGACCTGTTTGCCCGGGGCCCTGACAGACAGGCCAGGCTCCTGGTTACTCCTGACCCTCCGCCCTTCTGATGACGGAGGGGCGTCCTAGCCCCGGCAGACCTCGGACGTCCCCGCAGAGCTCCCCGGGCAGCTGAAGCACACACCCTGGGCTGAGGACCCTCCTGTCCCAGAGGGGCTGTCCTGCCTCTCCTACCTCACTGCACAGCACCCCGGGCTCCCCCAGCTGACCTCCTCCCCGCAGGACAGGTGGTGGCCTCCCCTGGCTCAGGGCGATCCCACTGACCTCTGGCTTCGGCTGTTGTCTGGCCCACGTCCTGCTAGATCCCTCCCCCAGCTTAAAATCGGGGAATGTAATTGCTCCCGTCTGGGACGCCTCACCCCGTCCCCTCGTTAGCCTGAGGACGAGTTGGGGACAGCACCTGCAGTGTCACGAGCTGAGTTGCTCTGGACAGAAGGGTCTTGGTCTCTGCCCGTGATTGCCCTTGAGCAGAAGGACTGGTTCTTTCGAAGCCAGCAGGGTTCTCTGTCATGGCCCCATGGAGCCTGATTCACAGCGGGCTGCAAAGCTCGGGGGTCCGCTGTCCATGAGGCGGCGGGGGAAGCTTCCCTTTGGGTAGAAAGGAGAGAGCGCGTCCCCACCTCCGGGCCAGCCTAGGGGACACGCAGTGTGGGGCGGTTGCGCGGTGGGCCTTGCTTATCCCCATCAGCATCGTTCCCATCACCTCCCCTTGTGGGAGTGCCCTGGAGGCGAGCGAGGGTGGACCATCTTGAGACCCACACCCTCCATAGGACCAGGAGCAGAGTCAGGGTCCCCATTTATTCTGGGAGAATCCAGGGCTAATGGTCTCGTGCCCTCCTTGGGTCCATCACATGTCCCCCGAGGCGGGGGCCCCCAGTGTCGGCACCCCCAGGCTTCCCCAGCCTCCTGCCAGGTACTGGGTGGGGGGGGTCCCTGTCCCACTGGTGCTGGAAGGTTGTCCGGACCGTGTCGTCTTGGAGGTTCCTCAAAACACCTCTCGGTTTTTCAGGCCCCTGCAGCTAATAGGCTTTGAGCCCAACTAAAAAGAACATTTCGCACAACAGGAAGGGGCTCTCCCCGCAGCCGCCCGTCACTGCGAGAGCTAGCTTGATGACATTCTCTGACACTCGACAGTGTGGTCTGGCACCGCATGGATAATCTCTGCATCAGAGTAGATGGCACGCTGGTGACCTCGTTAGGACGTACACGGTGCCTTGCAAGGGGGGAGGGTCACCTTTTAGTTCCTATGCATATGCTCGCCCCAGCAAAGATGATAGGAAGACGGTTATTATTATTATTTTTTACCTCCAAACCCCTCGTGTCATGCGTGTGTGTTGGTCTGAGACACTTACTGGGCACCTACTGTGTGCTAGGTGTCCCAGGACAGTTCATGTGATGAACAGAAAGGGGTCCCTGCTCTCATGGGGCATTAGCCCCGTTGGGAGGGTCGTCAATGCCCGTATGCAGGTAACTGAACGCGGTGGTGTTGGCTCATGATAAGCATTAAAGAGGAGGCCGCCCTGACTGATGGATTCAGGGGTGGCAGGTGGCAAGTCATGAGAGCGGGGTACTGAGGAAGGGACATCTGGGCAGGCTTCCGTGAAGACCTGTGGGATCCTCTGTGGTCCCGTTGCTCTCGCAGACGATGGGGCGGGACCTTGGGGACCCCCGACGCGAGGGTTGGGTGCTCTCACTGTCCTTGTGCCAACAGGTGAGCTCCTGGACGGGCAGAGGGGTCTGGTGCCCTCCAACTTTGTGGACTTTGTGCAGGACAGCGAGTCACGACTAGCAAGTGCGCTGGGCAAAGAACAGGACCAGAATCTCATCAAGCAGGCTGGCATCGGCTCGGAGGTGGGGAGCCTTGTGGACCTCCGCGGCCCCGCTCACACACACGCCGGCGTCACGGACAATGGTGCGGGGACCCTGGGCGTGAGCATTGACGAGACCGGAGAAGACATCGTGCCTTACCCTAGAAAAATCACCCTCATCAAGCAACTCGCCCGAAGTGTCATTGTGGCCTGGGAGCCCCCGGCCGTGCCGCCAGGCTGGGGGACCGTGAGCAGCTACAACGTGCTGGTGGACCAGGAGACACGCGTGAGCCTCATGCTCGGGAGCAGAACCAAGGCCCTCATCGAGAAGCTCAACACAGCGGCCTGCACCTACCGGATCTCTGTGCAGTGCATCACCAGCAGGGGCAGCTCGGACGAGCTGCAGTGCACGCTGCTGGTGGGCAAGGACGTGGTGGTGGCCCCCTCCCACCTGAGGGTGGACAACATCACCCAGATCTCCGCCCAGCTCTCCTGGCTGCCCACCAACAGCAACTACAGCCACGTCATCTTCCTCAACGAGGAGGAGCTCGACGTCGTCAGGGCTGCCAGGTACAAGTACCAGTTCTTCAACCTCAGGCCCAACATGGCCTACAAGGTGAAGGTCCTGGCCAAGCCTCACCAGATGCCGTGGCAGCTGCCCCTGGAGCAACGGGAGAAGAAAGAGGCCTTCGTGGAATTCTCCACATTGCCCGCAGGTGAGCCCCGTCCTCCCGTGGGGCCCCGAGGGGCAGGGCTGGGGCGAGAGGGCTCAGGCAGGGAAGACGGTACCCAGATGGCACTGTTCTGGAAAGCCCCATGAGGGAGGGAGAGGGAGAGGGGAGGGAGAATACGTGGATTTTGTGTAGGGACCATGTTTGTGAAGCTACTTCTTCTCACACTGGCGTCTGCAAGAGGCCCGCCCTGGAAAAGACAGGACACAGTGAGGCCGCCCTCAGGGGCGTAAGGGGATGTCTCCCCCACAGCGTCCCTCCCGCGAGCGCGCGCTCGTTGAGTGGAACGGCAAACCAAGTGTCCGCACGCCTTCAAAACCGTTCTTTCTCTCTCATCGTAAATCACACACGCGGGTGAATTTGTGTAGAGGGTGTGAAATTCTGTTGTAGACGCTTTTCTGGGTTCTGGGCGCAACTGCTACGTAAAATCGTAGGAAATCGTAGCCCGCCGGGTCTGCTCATCTCCGAGTCACCAGACGCCCGGTGCTGCCGTGGGGCAACTCCCCCCACCTCCAGAAACTTCCGTGGTGCTGGTCTTGGCTGTGGTGCACCTTCCGAGCAGGCCAGCTGTGCCCAGGTGGGAGCCCGGACACCTGGGGGAAGAGTAGCCTTCTTGGAGCAAAGAAGGTCATTTTTGCAAGAATATTTGAGGGCATAATTTGTTTCCTCTAGAGCCTCTCTTCGTCCTGCGTTACTCACGAGATCCCCTGAAATGCCCGTCTTTGCAGCCTCTTTGTTGGACTTCTCTCTGTGCTTAGTTCATCCGGCCCCGCCCCACCTCGTTTGTCGGTAGTTTTTACAAGCAATTCGTCTCTTCTCCAGGAGCACTTTTACCAGCTGCCTGAAGTCTTCCCTCTAACACAAGATGGGCCGCTCAATTTGTGATGGATTCACTTCTATTTCATTGTGTTCTCCAGCATTTGCCAAACCCATAACCAACTAGCGTCTGACCTACAAAGCAGCAATGTCATGGGCAGGTGGGGCGGATGCTGCCTTGGGGAGGGAGGGATGTCTCAGGAGCGGTGGCCTTCTAAGGGGTCAGCACACTTGCCTTGCATGGTGACTTGATTTCCTGACCAGCCACGGCGTCAACTGTGAATACCGGGACGATGAAGACGCTTGGCCCTGATGCCTACCATACAGTCACGTGGTCAGTGCTGGGGGGTCAAGAAATGAGAAACACAAGGCACCGGGCTGGGGGCGGGGCTCGGGAGGGACGAGGAACCCGCATTGGGACCACCAGGTTGGGCTTCTGGAGAAGCTCACCGTGAGATGGACAGGATGGGGGGTCCAGGTATGAGCCTAGGGCACGTCCCACAGGGTAGCCCCTCATCCCTGGCGTCCCGGGCAGTGCGCACGGCCCGAACACAGTGCGGTCGCTCCTCACGGCTCTGGGGGCTGGAAGTCCGAGGCCGAGGCGCCGCAGAGTTGGGGTCTGGGGAGGACCTGCGTCCTGGTCCACAGACGGGTCTTCTCCCGTGTCCTCGCGGGGTAGAGGAGGCGAGGGACGCCTGTGGGGCCTCCTGGGTGAGGGTACTGACGCCCCTCTGAGAGTTCTGCAGTCATGACGTCAGCCCCTCCCAGAGGTTTCACCTCCTGACACCAGCACCGTGGGCGTTCGGATTTCAGCATGAATTCTGGGGTGGGGGATGCAGACCATGTTCTGATGGTGGTGAGTGCAGTGAGGGGAAGGTCTGGGAGATCCTGCCCTGCGTGGGAGGAAAGGGGTGCTCCCAGACCAGTGCGTTCTGAACTCATCTCAGGTATGACCTGTACTGAGCACGCCCGCACGGCGGACATGAGAGCCACCCCCTGCTGGGCTGGAGCTGACAGAAGAGCAGTTCCAAGTCTCCCTTCACCCACAAACCCCTGTCCCTCAACTGTGATTTCGCTTTATGTAGAAGCGAGAACTGAGGAAGATCCCAGACTGGTTTCAGCTCTGGACCATTGCTCTTCAGAACAACGAGGCCTGATAGCTTAATCAGCGTTCCTTGTTGAGACTGATCAAAGTGCCAGAGCCAGGTGATCAAGGAAACACTAGTGACCCTGAAAGACTTAGTGGGGTTTCTGAACACTTACAATTAGCTCAGGATGCAACGCTAGCCCCCAGCAAACTCTGGTCTGGTCTGGTCACTCAACAGAAAGGCCGGAATCTTGAATTCCAGAGTCCCCTGCCTTTATGAGAAGCCACTCACCCCCAAGGAGAAGGATCAGGTGGGTCCTCAGCAAGCCGATACTAGAAACAGGACGTCACAGGTGGGATCACAAGGTCACAGAGCTGCACGTCCCAGGGGCAGCTGTCAGCAGAGGGATGGGCAATGTGTGTGCTTTAGGGTGACATCAGCCTTGTGAATTGTTGGGGGCAGGAAACGTGGTGTTTTCAATGGTAGCCATTGTGGTACCTAAATTCTAGGGGTGGAATTTAAAGCTGGCATTCAGAAGTAGATTTCAAATCAGAATTTAAGATGATCTTTAGGGTTTGCAACACTGCATACAGCATCTTCTGAAAAGGACTTCTCCAAAGGGCCTAGACAAGCAAGGCACATCATTCCCACCTGGCAGCTCCAGGATCCTGTGGTCCCTGCAGAGGCCAGGCCTGCCCACTGGCGGTGGCCAGACTTCCTCCCTCCAGCCTGGGCTAAGCATTGCCGTGTGCATCCCCCACCCTCCCAGTGCCAGGTGAACCGGATACTTGAATGAAGAGAGACGGGCTGGAATTTCTCCTGAGCTCTACTGTCCCCCTGCCTGCTGGGGCTGGCTTGGCAATTGCAGGCCCCGAGACTCAAGGCAGATCACGACCAGAAGCCTGTATGCAGAGTGCCCGGCGGCTGCAGGAAGGGCAAGCCACTTCCCAGATGGGACACGAGAGACCTATTAGTAGAATTCTTCAAATCTTCATACCCTTACTGGGTTTTGTCTGCTCAGTCTCTCCAGTTATTGAGAATTATTGTCTATATATTTCTAAATATATATAATATATATATAATATATATATAGAAATATATATTTCTAAATATTGTCTATATTTTCCTCTTCAGTTTTCTCCTTTTTGCTTTATATATTGTGAAGCTCCATTATTAGGTGCATACACATTTATTTATTTTTTTTTAAGATTTTATTTATTTATTTGACAGAGACTGAGACAGCGAGAGAGGGAACACAAGCAGGGGGAGCGGGAGAGGGAGAAGCAGGCTTCCCACGGAGCAGGGAGCCTGATGCAGGGATCGATCCCAGGACCCTGGGATCATGACCTGAGCCGAAGGCAGACACTTAAGCTTAATGACTGAGCCACCCCAGCGCCCTAGGTGCATACACATTTAAGTGGTTAGTTCTTGATGAATTGACCCCTTTCTCATAATGAAATGCCCCTCTTTGTCTCTGGTATTACTTCTTGTCTTGAAGTCTGTATTGTCTGACATTCATATGATCACCAGCTTTTTCATGCTGAGTGTTTACATGTTATATCTTTTTCTAACCTTTCAAATTCTTTGTATCTTTATTTTCAGGATGTCTCTTATGAATAGCCAATAGTCGGATCTTGGTGTTATAGAAATCTGACAATTTCTGCCTTTTAATTGGAATCTTTAGTTCCTTTTCTTTTAGTAAAATTACTGATATGACTTGGTTTAAGTCTGCCATATGCTCTTTGTTTTTCATTTATCCTGTTTTTTTCTTTGTTGATCTTTCCCTACCTTTTTGGGGAGAAAGGGAAGGAAGGAGTCAACTAAGTGTATTTTTCTATTCCATTTCCTCCTCTATTGACTTTTTTTGGCTATAACTCTTTGTATTCTTGCTTTAGAGATTGCTGCAGGGAGTAACACATGCATGTTTAACTTATCAAAACTGAGCTTACAGGGGTGCCTGGGTGGCTCAGTGGGTTAAGTGTCTGCCCTTGGCTCAGATCATGATCCCAGGATCCTGGGATCGAGCCCTCCCTGCTCAGCAGGGGGATTGATTCTCTCTCCTCCGCACTCATGGTCACTTTCCCTATCTCTGTCACTATCTCTGTCTCTTTCTCAAATAAATAAAGCTTTAAAAAATTAGCTTACATTAATAAGATAATGTATTTACAAGGGAAGAATAGTACCAAAGTATAATTCCATTTATGCTCCTTCATTTTTACTATTGTTTTTATATATTTTACTTTTACATATATTGTGAACCCCTTGATACATTATCTTGCTTTAATTAATTGCTTTTGAAGAATTCGACAAAAATAGTCTTTTATGTTTCCCAATATATCTGCAATTTCCACCAGTTTTTATCCCTTTTTGTAGGTTCATATTTCCACCTGGTATGATTTCCTTCCAGCTCTGAAGACTTTCCTTTAGCATCTGTTTCAGTATTCTTTTGGTTATCTTAAAAAAAAAACTCATTATTTCACCTTTATTTAAAAATATGTTTTCTCTGGGCGCACCCAGCTGGCTCAGTTGGAGGAGTGTGCAACTCTTGATCTTGGGGTCAGGAGTTTGAACCCCATGTTGGGTGTAGAGATTACATAAATAAATAAAACTTGAAAAAATATTTTTTCTCTGGATATAGAATTCTAGACTTTTTTTATTGCAGTACTGTGCAAAAGTCATTCCCTTTCTCTTGACCTCCCCTATTTGTATCAGGAGTCGGCTCTCCTGTTTTCCCCTTCATTCTCTTTCAAGATTTATCTCTGACTTTGATGGTCAGTAATTTGACTGTAATGTGCCTAGGCTTACTTTTACTTCTACTTATCTTTTTTGAAATTTACTGATATTCCTGGATCTAAGGGTGGTAGTGGTAGTGGTTTTTCTTCAAATTTCAAACTTTGTATCCCCACAGACCTTTTCTACTTTAACTTTCACTTCGGAGAATCTAATTATACATAAGTCAGATTGCTTGCTGTTGTACAGATTTATGAACTCCTGTTTATTTTTTAGATCATTTTCCTCATTGTGTTTCAGTTGGGAGAATTTCTATTACTCTGTCTTCAAGTGTATTCATTCTTTCTTTTGCAGTGTCCAATCTGCTGTGAATACTATTAAATGAAATTTTTATTTTGGCCATTGCAGTTTTCAGTTCTAGGATTTTCATTTGGTCCTTTTTAAAATTTTCTTATCACTCTTGGAATTCCCATCTCTTCACCTACCACATTTATCTTTACCTATACATTCTTTAACCTACTTGTAATAATTATTTTAGTCTTTGCTACTTCCAATGTCTGGGTCATCTGTGGGCCCGCTTCTACTGACTATTTTTCCTCTTGACTATGAATCATATTTTCTCATTTCTTTCCACATCTGGTGACTTTCTTTGTGTATTGGACATTGTAGATTATGCCCTAGAAAGACTCTGGATTCTGTTATCTTCATCAGTAACAGCTGTAACAACACCTCTGCAGAGAATTGAGGTTTAGTCTAGCAGATAGTTATATTTGTGACATATCTAGATCCTGTAGATGCTTGTTTTAGCTTTATTTGAGTAAATATATTTCATTTTTGCCTCAGAATGTGGCCCTTAGTCCTGATGTATGATCCCAACTTCTGTGAGATGGGCCTTCTGTGTCTCCAATGGAAAACTTAAGCTCCTCTAACTTAAAAGGATTTGAACTCCAAGTTCTTCCTCTTAGCACTAGGCAGCTACCAGAATCAGTGCTGAACTCTATAGCTATCTAGCTGTTTACTTTCCTTTATGTTGTTTGCATTCCTGCCTGCCCTGCACAGGCACAATTTAGGGGTCACCGAATAGTTTGAGGGGAATGGGCACACAGAGGTTAGGGATCCTCTTGCACTGGGTCTTCACTCTCTGGGGCCTCTCTCAATTTCTATCACGTCTGCCATCATTGAACGCCGACTTCTAACTCCACAATCCAGCAAGACCACCACTTCCTGCTTGGACTCTATCTCTCGTACAAGTAAGCTGGGCAGTGTCCTAAGGGAGAATAAAAAGGAATTTGGTTAAGTGTCAGATTTGCTAATTTGTTTGCCTCCTTTCAAGGCACAGATCACATGCCGTCCCCTTTCCCTCTACCTCATAGTGTGGGATGAATCACACGGGGCATGTTCACGGGAGGCTTTTGGAAATGGCTCAAGGTGCTTCTTTCCACCACGAGGCATGGCTGCTTTTCTCATTGCTGGGTGTTCTTCATCAGCAAAGGAGAGTGACCTGGCTCTGACAAGAACCACTGATTGCTTTCATCTTATGAATGCTACCAGGCCATGAGGACAGTGTTGAGGAGATAGGGGGACGTGGTACCCCACAGGTCTCCAAGAGTCCTGGCAGCAATTTAGCTCTGAGTGGATGAGGGCCTATATGATCTGTCCCATACTCTGAGGGGCAAGTCCACCATGGTGACCAATCACAGGGAAGGGAGGCAGACGGCACTCAAGGTTGATGCAGCTAGCAGTGCTTAGGAAGGAACAGCCCTACTCAGAGACAGAAAACAGAATCATCATCACTAAATCCCCAGAGTCTGGTCAAACACAACAGCCACCAAAACAAGTGGTCCCCACTAAAAGGATTGTGCTCTCCAGAAAGGTCTTCCACTTCTGATATAGAGGGTGGAGATTTCAGGATCTTTTATGGGAGTGTGAGGAGTCCAGTGCCTTTGGAATCAAGTTGAAACAAATAATAACAATAATTAGTATATAAATGGCACTTACTCTGAGCCCGTGTACTGTTACAAGCACTTTATCTACATTTTAGTTCATTTAATCTCATGCTTGAAGTTGGCTGTACTGATGATTTATTGTATGTTAGAAGCCATGATTTCTCAGAAGCTTGCTCATGATTGGATCTGATGCAGATATTCCTGATGGGCAGCTCTCTTCCAGTGATGATTTGGGGACCCAGGCATGTCCATCTCGTAGTTTCGCCATTTCTACTCTGTGGCTTCTGAGGTTGCCTCCAGGGGTCATCTCCTTCCCAACCAGAGGGGGAAGGACCTTATAGGTTCACCTGTGGAGCTTTAGGTGGGCTAGCCTGGACATGGCACCCATCACTTCTGCCCTGTTCTGTCAGGAGTCAGCCACAGGGGCCACATCTTACTGAGAGGGAAGTTTAGAAACTGAGCACGGCTGTCTGAGCAGGAGTAAAATAATAATACAGTGATGATGTTTTAGTGAGTACATAGCCGTTGTTGCCAACAGGCTCTGTATCGTGTCTATTTTATAGATAAGGTAACTAAATAAAAGACAGTTGTCCAAGGTCCCATGTCAGTAACTGGCAGATCTGGGGCTTGAACCTGGGCAGGCAGGCTCCAGTGTCCACTTTCTTATCACGTCCTATCCTGCCTCTGATTTGTTTGCATTTCTAGGATGATAGAACTGGTTGTCTTGGTTATAAGGCAAAGGCCTGGTATCCAGCAGTAGCCAAGTCAGGGCTGAGCAGGTGAGTGGATGGGGGAATCATGAAGGAAAGGACATCTGCTCTTTGAGTCCGACTCTAAACACACCTTTCTTTGGCAATACGTCACCTTTAAATTAACTATACAGGTAGAATTTCACCTCTGAGCCAGGCTGTGAAGATGTTTTGAAGACTTTTATCATGGCATGTTATTAAGAGTGGAGTCGTTACGTGCCTTTGCAAATGGGCTACAGGGAAGTGTGGTGTGAACCCTGCTTCCGGCACTGAGTAGCTGAGTGACTTCCCTTGAACCTCAATGTCCTCACATGCAAAGTGGGGGTGTGCTGCGGTCACAGGCCTGTGTGAGGGTCCCGTGGTGGAAAGTACGCAGCAAGGAGAAGCATGTGGCCCGCAGAGAATCCTCCGTAGACAGCTGCCCACCCCTCCCCAGAAATGAATACCTCGGGGGAGCAAATGTGGGGCTCCGAGCCTTCCTCCTGGAAGTTATAAATATGTTCTTTTCCAAATGAAATGCCACGTTCAAGCAGGAGGATGTGGAAGTGTGCACAGACCTCGAGGAAAGGGTGGTGGGCAGCACGGGCCATCCTGCTGTCCCTGGGAGCCTCCAGATGACCAGGGCCACAGCCACGGCCTCCGTGCCACGCGAACTGGCTGCTCACGACCCACGGCACATGCAGACTGGCCACGGCGCAAGAGAAGTGTTTGCTGGTGCAGCTGGGAAGCCTGTGTGCGGAGCTAGATTTTCAGGGCCAGGTGCTGTCCTCAGACCCGTCTCTCTTGGCGCTCAGCTCTGTCCCCTCCCACACGCGGTCCACCCCTACCTTCTCTCGAGTCCATGAACAGACGGAGGGAGGAAAGAGAGCAGCGGCAAGGAGGGGAAAAGGGAGGGAGGAATCTCTCTCTGCCAGTCGCTGGGCTCGCCTGCGCGCGTCCTGAGCCAATCCCACCGCCCAGGAATGACGTCCGCGCTCGCGGACTGGGAACAGGGCGCAGGTGGGCGCAGGCGGCGGAACAACGCCCCGGTGAGCTGCGGGCCGCGGTTCACGCCGGGAGCTGCCGCCCTCCGGCAGCCCTGCCTTCCCATGTGGTGCGCGTTCCCGCCCGCTGCCCCGGCCACCGGCCCAGAGCACGCCTTCCAGGTGAGAGCAGTGAGCTTCCCCGGCCGCTCACCTGCCAGAGGGCCGTGCCCTGAAAGCGCTTTCTGTGCCTCCAGGCCCTCCGGCGCCCCCCCAAGATGTCACTGTCCACGCCGGGGCCACCCCAGCCACTGTCCAGGTCTCCTGGAAGCCGCCCGCCCTGACAACCGCCGGGCTGTCCAATGGGGCCAACGTGTCTGGCTACGGCGTGTATGCAAAAGGGCAGAGGGTGAGTTCTGGTTGGGGGATCGCGCGGGGACCGGCCAGGGACTGGCCTGCACCTGCTCCTGGAAGGGTGAGGCAGGGGGTGGGGGGCATCCCTCTCTTCCCTCTCTCCACCCCCAAGATACACCGGCACGTCCTGAACAGCACCTTCAGCGGCGCCCAGGGCCCCCACCCCGGCGGAACACAGCCCCCTTCTCTCCTGTGGCTTCTCCTTTCCAGAATTCTCTCTACCCACCTCCCACGCCACTGCTGCCCTGCCCCGGGCGGTTCCTGTTCTCCCCTCAGTACTGAAAACTCGCCTCTTGACCCCACAAAGTTAGCCCCCCAGTGGATGACGGGCTCATAAACTCAACCAGCTGTTGTTGAGAAGATGGTACCACCAGCCAAAGGGGAGGGGGGCCATCTGCACATCAACACACAGCGGGCCTGGCTCCCAGAGACCCTGTGTCCTTAATGCCCACCGTAGGGACCCCGTACCAGCCCCAGCCCCGCCCTGGCACATGACACACAGACGGGGGGACGCTTGGAGGAGCTCCTGTCCATCCTCCCACCCCCTCCTGTTCCCCCAGAGGAGCCAGAGCTGATACATCAGATGTAAGTGCCTATCTGAGCTCCTCCTGCCTGGTCCCCGGGACTTGCCGCCTGCAGGGGCATGCTTCCTTGGCTCCCCCTCCTCCCCCGGGACTCCCCCGTGCTCCCCCTCATCCCCCAGGACTCCCCCGTGCTCCCCCTCCTCCCCGGGACTCCCCCGTGCTCCCCCTCCTCCCCCAGGTCTCCCCTGTGCTCCCCCTCCTTCCCCAGGACTCCCCCGTGCTCCCCCTCCTCCCCGGGCCTCCCCCGTGCTCCTCCTCCTCCCCCGGACTCCCCCGTGCTCTCCCTCCTCCCCCGAGACTCCCCCGTGCTCTCCTTCCTCCCCTGGACTCCCCTGTGCTCCCCCTCCGTAGGGAAGCCTGCAGGCAGGGTATGCCCATGCAGAAAAAGTGTGTCCTTGCTCTATGACAGGAAGTCCATTTTGGCCCCTGCCTGGCCCTTTCTCCCCCCACCCAACTTTGGCAGTTCATACCTGGTTTCTGATGCCTCTGAGGCCCCTGCATCTATATCTGAATTGATTCTGGACAGGGAAGGAAAGGCGTGGTCCTCACTGGTGCCCAGGAACCTCCAAGAGCTGCACGGGTGGGATCTGTGGAAGTCCCCGGCCTTTGCCCCCCTCTGAGGCTCTCCAGGCCGGGCACGCAGTTGAGCTGGGCATGGACAGGGTCCCGGGCCTGGGAGGCCGTCTGGGGGCTGGCCCCTGTCCAGCAGGGTGCATGGGGAGAAGCTGCAGGCAGGCGGGCCCCTGTGACAGACATTCTCTGTGTGCAGGTGGCTGAGGTCACCTCCCCCGTGGCGGACAGCATAGCCGTGGAGCTGGTGCGGCTGCGGAGCCTGGAAGCCAAGGCTGTGACCGTGCGGACCCTCTCTGTGCAGGGCGAGTCCACGGACTCTGCCCCTGCTGCCATCCCTCCCGACCTCCTGGTGCCTCCAACCCCCCACCTGAGAACTCCCACACCGAAGCCCTTAGCAAGTGCCGGAGCCCCCGATACCAAAGATGAACACCTGGGTCCCCACGTCGCCATGGATGGGGCCTGGGAGCAGACTGGGGCCCCGGCCCCAGCCCACGGGCACATGCTGGAGCCACCCAGCCTGCAGGGCTCGGGCCCGGGGAGGCGGTCCCCCTCGCCCAGCCGGATCCTCCCACAGCCACAGGGCACCCCGGTTTCCACGTCCGTCGCCAAGGCCATGGCCCGGGAAGCTGCGCAGAGGGTGGCCGAGAGCAGCAGGGTAAGACTGGGCTTCTCCTCACTGGTCTGCGGAGGGGGCTGCTCCAGGCGCTGGCGCCCAGGGGCTGCCTGGCCTGGGAGGGAGGGATGCTGCGCGGCCTCCCTGTGCCCGTGGACTGCTTTCTTGGCCAGATCCTGATGGGATCAAAATGTATTCTCAGTATGTGAAAATGGACCCATGTACCCAGAGAAACTGCTTCTCGACCAGCCTGGCTCAGCTCCAACAACAGGCTGTGAGCGGCCCACTCCCCAGGCTCTGTCTATGTTGAGGGTCTGAGAGGTGCTTTCTAGAAGTTGGCCTGGGGATCTTCTTCCTGAACGAGACTCACGGCCTGGTTCTGCGTGCTTCGGAGCCGCAGCTGTGTGCGTGTGCATACTTTACATGCATGCAGACCTGTTTCCACGCACACGTGCACACAGACATACCTACGTGCACGCATAGACAGCCGTGGGCATATACGCACGTCCCTACGTGCAGAAGTGCACACGTATAAACACACTTGCATACCTGTTACCCAGGACTGTGCGGGCCATGGGGATACAGTGGTGCTGTATTCCAGACGAGATGTGCAGTGAGACATGACGTAGTAAGAAACACCTATGAGGTGCTGCCCCGTCCAGGCCCGGGAGAGTGGGATCTGGAGCTGGGCTAGACCGTGTGCCCCCCACCCCCACCTGCCTGTCTGGGACAAAGCCCCCGTCTCTTCCTCGGGTGTGTTGGTCCACCAGGGTGTCCGGCATGTGTGCTGTGGCCTGTGGTCGGGGCTCTGGCCGAGGCGACAGTGGCGGTCAGCATCCGTCTCGGCTCTGCCCGTCCAGCTGTAGGGTCCCTCCAGGACAGAGAGGACGCTGTCGGACGCTGACAGCTGCAGGTGGAGATATCTGTGCGGACGCCTGGAGGTCCCGAGGGCTGGGTCAGCCTGGCCCTGGGGTGGGGACCAGGTCAGGGAGTCTGAGGAAGGGTGTAGACCCTAATGGTCAGAGCTGGGTCACACAGGCCACGTATAGGACACTGGGGAGCGATGCACGGTGCAGTGACAGCCGTTGGTCCTCCCTAAACACCGGAAACCTCGGCCGTTGCGTGAGCTCTCCCAACTGGTTCAGTACTGGCCTCAAATACTTAAACGATTAAACACTAATCTGTGACTTCTGACGAGAAGTGGGCCCACCCCCGCTGTGTTGTTTCTCACGAAGCAGAAGCCCGGGCCCAGAACGTTGTGGTGCTTTTGGTGAAGCTCTGTGGGCAGGAAGGGCCTGGCAGGGGAGTGGGCACCCCTCTGCTCTTTGGGATGGCACCCCTAAGGCCCCCAGGCGGGGTCCCGAGAGCTGGCTGGAGCCAGAGCCTGGGGCTGCTGCTCACTCCCCAGCCAGCTTACCTTTTGGAGGGCATGGAGAGAAAGCAAACCTTCGAATGTTATTTTTCAAGAAAGTGGTGTCCCTAGGTTTCTTCCAGCAAAGGCAGGAAGTGGTTCTGGTCAGGGACGGGGGCAGCACATCAGAGGCCAGCGCTGGGCCACCGGACACGGGTCCCTACCCGTGGTGGCTCCCAGGGGGACTGGGGGGCTGAGCGAAGCAGAGGCCAAGCCCAGAAGACATGGGGGCCTGGAAGCCCCCTGCCCCTCACCAGCCCCTCCTGACCGCTCCTTTCCTTCTCCTTCCAAGTTAGAGAAAAGGAGCATCTTCCTGGAGAGGGGCGGCGGGCAGTATACAAACTCGGATGAGGAAGACAGCTATGACTCCCCGGACATCAAGAGGAGAGGCGCCTCGGTGGACGACTTTCTGAAAGGCTCAGAGCTCGGCAAGCAGGTGAGTGTGGCCGTGAGGTCCCTGTGGGCCTCCCCTGGCCTCAGCCAGAGCTACCGAGTGTGGCCTCCTCTGGGGACAGTTCCAGAAGTCCAGATGGGAGGCTCCCACCCTCCCCGACCGTGCTGTGCCGGCACCTGGTCACACAGATGATTGGGTGGGTCAGGTAAACCTACAGGTGACCACCTGGTTAATTTAGGCAGAGCCCACCGTTTGTTCATTCACTTTCCTTAATCAGACTAATGTTTGTTGGGCACCTGGTATGTGCCAGGCATCACGGGAAAGCCCAAAACACAGGATCCGCATCCTACACCCAGAGCACAAGCCGTCAGTGCTCCCCTCCCAGCCCAGGCCCCTGCACCACAGATGCGCTCCGCCGGCTTGTGGCTCCAGGTTCTGATCACGTGCACTCTAACGGAAGCAGCCCTGACTGTCTGGACAAGAGACAGGAAGGGCTGGAGAGTCGGGCAATCCAGGGGTGTCAGGGCACAAAGACACCTGCCACGCCCGAGAGACAGGGCAGCATCATGGCCTCGGGGGCGTCAGACTCACACACTCGGTCACATCCTGGCCCTGCCGCTGCTCAGCCGTAGCTCTGCAGGCAGGTTGCCCAGCTCCTCCAGCCATCAGACTCTTTGTCTGCAAGATTAGAATAGTTCTACTTGTACTCATTTTAACATAAGACACGGAATACCCACCTAATAATGACAAAGATGGTGAAGACATTTCACCACCCACGATACAGGGAGCCTCAGGAGGATGTTGCCAGACTGATTCTGCTGTCCAGTGTGTCTGGGCTCTGGCTTCTGAATCTTCCATGCTTTTGGCCTTCCTCTTGGTTGCAAAGTGGCTGCCATAGCTCCAATAATCACAGCATCATGTGACAGCACCCCAAGAAGGAAGGAAGAGATGGATGAAAAAAAGAGGGGGCTTGCTTTTCAGGCACTTTTCTCTTAACGGGGAGAGAAGTCTTTTCCAGAAGCTCCATCAGACTTGCTGCTACCTCTCACTGGGCAGACTGGGGCCACGTGCCCAGTACCAAGAGAGGAATAGGATTCCTATCAATGGCTTATCAGTGATGCATTTGGCCAGTGACAGACCCCTGCTTCCATTCCATGAGTTTATTCTGACATCAGTGGGTTGGAATCAGATGAGACTGTATCCTCGTGCAAGGGAGTTTCCTGGACGCCTGGGGAAGACCACCTTAAAACCAGCCTAGTCTTTGTGTATTTAAACTCCCTTGTTTAACTCCTTTGTGTATTGTATGTCTTCTACTTGGCCACTGAGTGAAAGAATTACAGCTGGAGCCAGGCCCACCCCAAGGCCACAGAGGCTCAGGCTGAGAACCTTCCTGGCCCCTTCTCCCCACAAGGCATGCAGAGCCTCCTGCCTCCAGCAGGCCTCGAACTTCATGTGGCCAGAAGTGCTTACACGTCTTTATCTGGGCTAGTAATCAAAAACTGGAGTATTTTTAATAAATGTGTCATGGGCTGCTATTAAATTCATTTGTCTTATTGCCCACCAGGAAAATAAACTGTTCAATCAACACCATCTAGCAAAACAGAACGTGGTCATAAATATGAGCTCGCCAGGGTGTGAGGTTTGGGTTGTGGCAACCTTCCGTATTTTTGCTTTAAATACTCAAGATACTGAATGCAGACACTGTGAGTGAGTGTGGTGCCAAGCTGCAGCGGCTGGGCATCGTGGTGCCCGGCCAGGGCTGTCCATGTCTGTGTGTGCAAGCACAATATCATGCGCACCCTTCATCCTACAGGATGTTTGGACGGAGCCCACACACAGGCTCTGTCAGGTGTCCATGAGCGAGCTGGGCCCAGCGTGAGGCCCACCTGTGTGCGGGGCTCACCTCCTGCCCGGACCAGCTATTCTCCAGACAACACAGGGTGTGCGTGTGTGTTAGACGACACCGTATTTGTAAAAATCTTAAATGCTTTTATGTGGCGCACATACACGCACTTTCCCACCCTCCTGCTCTCTGTTGCACACGTGTGGTGTGCCTGAGCCTGTGAGGGTCTTCCCCAGTTCCTGCCAGCTCAGAGCTAGCAGACCTGGGCTGGCCCTCTGTGCTCTTCTGGCTCCCTGAGCTTGACGGGATGGGGACGTCCAGGCCTTCCTCACCACGGATGGGGGCAACTTGCATGCACACACATGCACACACACACACATGCGCACTCACACGTACACATGCACGCAGACCCGCACACAGATGCGCACTCACACGCACACATGCACACATATGCGCTCCCGCACACATGCACGCACAGACGTGTGCACCACACATGCACACATGTGCACTCATGCACACATGCACGCAGACACATGCACTCACATGCACACATGCACACATAAGCGCTCTCACACGCACACATGCACGCACAGACGTGTGCACCACACATGCACACATGTGCACTCATGCACACATGCACACATGTGCACTCATGCACACATGCACGCAGACACATGCACTCACATGCACACATAAGCGCTCTCACACGCACACATGCACGCAGACACATGCACTCACATGCACACATGTGCACTCTCACGCATACATGCACAGAGGTGCACATGCACGAGCCTGGGGCTCGCAAGCATGCAGAGCAGGGGAAGGGAGGCAAGGAAGGCCTGGGTGGCCCCCAGACCACGGGCCCCCACAGTGTCCCTTCTCTTGGCCCCCAGCCACACTCCTGCCATGGCGACGAGTACCATACGGAGAGCAGCCGGGGCTCTGACCTCTCGGACATCATGGAGGAGGACGAGGAGGAGCTCTACTCTGAGATGCAGCTGGAGGACGGGGGCAGGAGGAGACCCAGCGGCACATCCCACAACGCCCTCAAGGTCAGTGGCCCAGGGTCACCGGCTCCTGCCACGTGGCCTGGAGCTCCCCTTCCCTGTCCCTCTGCCGGGGCTGCTGGCGGCTCCGGACGGCCTCGCCCTGCTGGGGGGAGCCCGTGGGTTTGGCTCGGCTTCTTCCTCACTGTTGAGTTTGTGTGTTCGGAAACTCCTCCCACCTCCTGTCCTGCACTTGGCCCAAAAGTCCAGGAGGAGGGGTTCGGGAGAGCCTGTTTGGCACCCTCGGGCTGCCCAGCTCAGTGCCAGGAATTGAGTGAAGACCCAGAACAGGGAAGAACCCCCCCACCACGGGCCGTAAGTGCTGATCGCAGAGCCGGCAGCTGGAGAGTCGGCCTCGAGCTGCACTAGGGGCTGGGGAGGAGCGGGGCCGGTAGGGATTCTGCATTTACATGCAAGGACGAAGCTGGGGTGATCAGTGCTCCAGGGGACATGGGAGCCAGAGGGGGGTGGGGTGTCAGGGGCAACATGGGGTCCACACACAGGCCCCTTCGCAGACACCTCCCCCAGAGCCCCACGTCCTCTGCCCCCACCTCTGGTGTGGCCGCCAGTGAGGGGCTTCATGGGGAACCTGAGTCCGAGGCCTCTGAAGAGCCAAGTAGGAGGCTTTCCCTCATGTGCGTGCCCACACGCTCCCTGCCTCCTCGGGCCTTCGCTCCCACAGTGGGCCCTGAGCCTGAGCAGTGTGGCCGCCATCCTCCAGCCGTTCCCAGCCCCCATGGGGGAGACACACAAAGCGCTGGATGGCTGCTAGGACCCTTGTGGGCTTTGCCAATGAAAAAGGCCACAAAGAGGAAAATTCTACGGGGGGATAAAGCACCCCACTGTGGAATCTCTCTGGGACATGGGCATGCATTGTGATGGTAGACAGAAGGCAACATCCAGCCCCGGCTGCCAGCTCACTGCTGCCTTGCACAGACAAGACTCCGATGTTCTCCCAGCAGGGGGCCCTGGTAGGGCCTCGGAGATACTCTGTCACCAGGGCACATGCTGGGGTCCTGGGCAGGTTCTGCATAGTGTCAGCGCCTGCCGCTCCTGGGGGCTCCTCCCGAGCCCGCTGCCAGCTCCCAAGGCCTCACCAGTCAGCGGGACTCCCAGTAACCTTCCTTGAGGGAGGCAGAGCCCAGGCCTTGCCTGGTCCCATCTGATGCCCCCCGACTCCCCGTGTTTGCCTGCAGGTGCTCACGGGTGGGCTGGGCAAAGCCTGGATCTGTTTTTCCGTGACGCTTCTCTTTCTGATGGAGAAAGCTCCTAGGGTGGCACTTCCTGCAGATAGTTTAGCAAAGAAGCAGAAGTTTGCCTTCTCTCCCTGGGAGGAGGTCTGGAGAGCAGCAAGTTGGGTATAAAAGCCCACAGCCTGGTGCCGCCCCTGCCAGCCAGGGGGGCCTCTTGGGGGAGCCCCTGGGAGAGCCCCTGGGAGCTGACAGTGGGCGGAGAGGCTTACTTTGCTTTGCCCACAGTGCTGTCCCATCTGTTTTTTTAAATCAGGAGATTTTATAGGCTGGCCTGGACTTCTGAGTTCTTTAGAAAGTCCGACAGTTTGGGGATCTGGCATCACGACAGTTCCCTACAACTGAGCCAGCTTCCCCCAGACCAGCCCTGCCCCAGAAGCCACCAGATTAGACCCCTTCTTCACGCTCACAAACACGCAGGTGTCAGGTTAGCAAAGGGGAGGGGTTGGGTCAGAGGCCAGGGCGCTGGCCCAGGCCCTCACCACCCACACTGAGCTCCTGGGCCCTCTGGAGTAAACGCACCAGGGTCCCCAGCTTGCAGAGCCCCATGCGGGGCCCAGGGAGGAAGGGCCTTGTCTGGAGAGGCAGTCCGGGGGCGCTCGCCGCTCAGCTGGCGTGGAGGATGCCCCAGCAGAGAGAACCTGTGCGCAGCGACTTCGGGTGGGGACACAGTGGCTAGGCACCTCCAGCCTGGGGCAGCCCCGGGAGGGCGCTGTGCCAGGCGGGCCCAGGATGGCGGGACGCAGCTCCCCACGCACTCTGGGCTGGGATCCAGAGAGCCAGGCCGACCAGGTCCTCTGCAGATACGGACGGAGCTCGGCTGTGCACAGCGCACAGCCCGGAGCCGGAAGGCGCCCAAGCGCCAAGGCCGGGCTGTCACGCACGCGAGTTCAGTCCAGAGAAAGCGCTGCTGGAGGTGGGGAGGGTGGCGGGCAGTGGTGGGCGGGGCCTCCGTGGGGTGCGCCTCCGCCGCACAGACCCCCGCCCCTCCCCTCCCGCCGCCCTCTGAGCTCCGTGGCAGGCCTCCCAGGGCCACGCGCCCCTGGCTGCCCGCTGTCCCCAGCCACGCCCCGCGGCCCGCCTCCCCTGCGCTGGGTGTGCCGCCTGCTCCAGGCTAGGACCCTGGCCCGCCGCGCCTCCCCCCCTGCCCCGCACCACGCACCATCCGTTAACCTTGTGTTCTCATTTCAGAGCCCGGCCAGAGCATGCCTTTCGCCCCCACGAGTACACGCATGCTTGCTGCCCCTCATGGCCTCTGAGACTAATTCTGTCTATTTTCTTTCCTCCCCCCATGTCACTTTGGTCACACCCCCTGTTAACACACCACCCCCTTAAGGAGTGCTCTCAGAGTAGCAGCACCGAGGGGGCCTTCCTGGAGCGGCCTGAGCACCCCCACCAGACCCCGCATAGTTCGAGGCTGTTCAGTATCCCCGAAGTAGCCGAGGAGGGAGAGCACCTCGAGTTCTTGCACAAACAGGGCTTAGGGTACTCGGCCAGGGTCCGGGCCCACGATGGGGACAAGGCCTTGCAGGCCTCCTGGCTCCCAGCCGAGCCCCGGGGCCCGGCTGTCGGCCCCGGTGCGGAAGACTTCGCTCTGCAGGACAGAGGCTGTCGGTCCAGCCGTGCGGCCAGCAGGAGCCCGGACAGTGGCCTGGACTGTGGGAGTGAGGAGGAGCTGTGTTTCAGCTTCAGGAGCACGGCCAGGTGCAGCCTGGGCCCTGGGCACTGTCCCTGTAGGAGAAGCCTGAGGCCGCTGCTGGCCCGGCGGCGGACGCTGACCCGGCAGAGCAGCATCGAGGAGGACTTTGGGGAGCAAGTGGACCCCAGCGACGTCCTCAGGAGCCATGACGCCCACCCGAGCCCAGAGAGATCCGCCCCCAGGAAGTATGACTGGGAGGAGCCCCCGGGGCACCAAGGCCCGCGGGATGTCTGGAAGAAAAGCATAAACATGCCCAACAGTAGGGCCACTGCCCCAGAGGCACCTCCCCGGGTGGCAGAAGGCCCTGTGGTGTGTGCAGTCAACTTCTTCTCACATCTGCTTGCCAAACCAATCCATTTTCATTCTTTGCCCTGATTTTTTTTTTTCTGTTGGTGTCCATCCCTGGGGAGCCTCTCTGCTGGCTGTCTTTCACTTCCATGCATTTTGATTTAAGTCCCATTGCTTCCCGATCTTTGACCATGCTGACGACCCCTTTACTTTGCTTTAGAATACTGACCCCCACCCCACAGAATCAGCGACGATTATGGCTGCTTTAATTAAAGGACAACTGAATCTAAATTTTAATTAAGGGTTAGCTGAACTATGATGATCCAAAAGTTTGGCAACACGTATCTTTTCAAAACAAACCCCCGGGGACCTGTTACGACCACCACCCGCACCGTCAAGGGTGTTTCCTGACTGTGGCTATGGGTTTGGGTTTTGCTGGTGTGTTTGGTCTTCATTCGTAACTGGAAAAAAACAAGGAGGAGCAATTATTGAAGACATCCATTTTTACATATTGTTTCCAAAGTAGTTTTTTTTTTTCCTTCCCCTTTCTTTCCAGGGGGCAGTTTTCAGAATGAATTTTCTACCATCAGCTCTAGATGCATCCCCCTGCCTTGTGTTCCAGGCTTGTTAGTAGTTTGTCCAGAGTAGGGTTTCATTCGGCTTCATTCATCTCTATATTGTGTCCCCTTTCCAGAACATTTGCTCCCACCATGCTGAACTTTTCCATGAAAGCATAGGTGAGCCGCTGGGGGCACCAGGCCTTGGTTCTGAGCCCGCGCAGTCATGGTCTGTCCACACGAGGGCACCGACCTGGCCCCCACTGAGTCACCTGCCACCTGTGGCCCACACCCTGTCCCCCACCTGTAACAAGCCATCTAATCACCGGGACTCTCTGACCACCGTTCATTCCCTGTGCCCCTGAGACCTTTCCGACTCCAACTACTTACCAGTGAGCTGGAGGTGTTGCTGTGATTCTCTTGTATGATTCTGACCGTTAGTGCAAATTAGAAGCAAACCCGTCCATAAAGGAAATCCTTCCGAGTCAGCCCTGAAAATTGGTGTCTTCGGATTAGGGCCAAGATGTTGCCGTGAGTTTCAAAGCTGGTAATGCACAGAAACTTCTGTCTTTGAGTTTCTGGTAACCGCACACACAACTGTGCCCAGGCGGGATTTTGGAAGTGCAGACCACCCCCCCACGTCTGTGAGGGCTGCAGGAGGGCAGGCTGTCCTGAGACTAGCTGAGGGTCCTCTGTGCTCAGAGGTGCTGGAGCTGTGACGAGCTGGGTTTGAGCCACTCACTCTGGTTCCAAGAATTTGGCTTTGGCAGCAGGAGCTGCAGAGAACAGTGCCTCCCAAGGAGACCCTTCTTGCCCCCACTCCCCTCTGTGTGTCGAAAAACAACTCTGGTGTGGAAGGCAGGGTGGCTGGGGTGAGCAGCCTTTTTCTCTTCCAGGTTATTCAGCTAACCTTTCAGTTAAAAGCTAAGTTTAGTTGCCTTTAGAGCTTCTGCTTCTAAGTTGAGTTGATTTGGCTAACTTAATTCTCTTGTTTCCCAAGGCTGGCGAGACTTATGACTGTGTTGTTGTGTCTTCAGATTTTAGGAAACCCGGTGTCTGCAGGACGGGCCGACAGGGTGGATCACGTGGGCCGAAGGTTCTCCCATGGCAGTGCTGGTCCTCAGCGGTCCCGGCCAATGATGGTCCCGCCCATCGGTTAGTGGGCCTGGCTGACACCTTTCTCTCTCTTCCGACCCCAAAGCACATGGCTGCTCAATCCTTGATCTGAATGTGTTTACAAACTTATTAGGAGTAGCATTTTCAACCACGTACAGAAAACTCTCCATTACTTATGGCAAAAAGAAGGCAGAAAGAGGCATAAGAGAAATGAACTCTATTTGTAAGTATTCTCAAGTATCATATTGGCTTTTTATGTCAATCTTCTCCCTACCGATTTTTTTCTTTCCTGGAGAGGCCTGGAGAGAGTGCAGGGTGCTGCTTCTCCACATCCCGGCTTGTGCTCTCATGAGATGCTCGTGGTCAAAGAAGCAGGAATGGCAGCCAAACTGCAAACACCTACATAAGCCTGAGTAACGGAGAGTTCTCTGCATGCATCAAGTGCTTTGGCAGCGGGGCTCAGTGTGACGGGAAACCCCACGAGGCCTGATGTGGCCTCTGGAGCGTGGGCTGCCCTCCTCCCTGGGCTCACCTCCTTGCTCATGAGCCCTCCTCTGGCGTTCTGTGCCCATTCCCTTCATTCCTTTTTGGGATTGAGCCAGTCTTGCTGAAAGCTATCATTTCAGTCCCTGTGACTGACCTGGTGGGGAAGGGGGTGGTGGGTGAAGGTTTGCTCATTCCACTGGAATGAATCGTGGCAAAAACAATTCCAAAAGGTATTCACACAAGATAATGGAACTTGGTAATCAGCCCAAACAAACGGGCCTTTTGTGAAAAGGCACGCACGTGTGAAAACAAGGCAGGCAGAGCTGGGAAGGGGGCAGGTGTACAACAGACTGACCCGGGGCTCCGGGGAGGCAGCTTAGGGCCTCCGGACACCTGCTGCACTCGTCACAGCCACACAGCCTAGGTTTAGGAGACAGTCGCCTCTGTTCACGTCAACTAACAGGACAGACAGACGGGATGACGCAAAACAGACCCTCTAAACTACTGTCCTTCCCCCAGACTTTTCTTCTCTTTAGAGTCCAGACAATGGAGAAAAAAATTTCCTCTTCTACCTTTACAGTTTTAGGATGTTTTTATTGATCAGTAAAAATGTCATAGAATACTCAAGATCCTTAAAAAAAGAGTCTTCAGTTCACTGAAAAATGACAAAGTACGCAGAGTCCCACTGGTGAACGCTGGTCTCCCATTACGGATCCCCTGGCAGGTTACATCATGCAGAGCCCGGGTAGTTTCGGGGGCTCTAAACCTGGTGCCACATTCACATGATCCGTGTGTCACTCCCGAGCCTGAGGGGTGCTCCTGGCATAGAAGGTGCAGGGCTTGGGGGGACTGGCTGTCTTTAGAAACGAGGTGGGGCGGGGCTGGTGTGCGGCCCAGACTCAGGTCTTCTCTGTTGTGGAAGCGGGTTTCTGAATCTCCTTTGGACTGTTGCTGTCATGCGTGAAGCCCACAGCCTGGCTCATGGCGTGAACTGCAGTGCACGTGGTTGAAGCGTTAGCCGCGAGGGCACTGGGGCTCTGCAGAGGCTCCATCCCCGGTCTCCTGGGACTCAGAGGGACCAGCTATGGGAGGGGCTGCAAATGGCCTGGTGGGCGCAGAGGCAAAGGGGAGACACGGGCACCTCCAGGTCTCGCCAGCTGACCCCAACCTCGGGGAGCCTCTGACAGGCCTTTGATTGGGTGTGTCTTACCATAAAGAAATCAAAAGGCTGCACGTGTGTTTTCATCTTAGTAAAACACTAGTTAAATTAGCAAAAAGAGAGTAATGCTAATGTTTTAACCAAAAAAAAAAAAAGCCTCTTAATGCAACTCAAAAAAGTGCTAAATAATCCATAATGGATTTGGTTTAATTGTACCTGACTTCTTATGTAGCAGTGCAAGAAAGCACAAAAAAGCATGATTAATATCAAATGCTTTGATTCCTACACACACACAGAAGCACCTATTAGCGTTTCAAAGGACAAAAGTGGAATGTGCTCAGCAGCGGCCAGTGACCCCTGGGAACCGTCAGTGACGTGCAAACAGACTCTTCCCCTCGTCCCAATTTACTTCCATTTTTCTTGTGCAATTATCAGTGATTGTTTTAGGAATCTGCTCCACAACAAAAGCATTCATTTTCTTTTCCAGAGGAACTTAACTCTGTAGACCGTATACTCCCTAAATATATTTTTAATTATTATTATTATTATTTGAGAGAGAGAGAGCATGAGCAGGGGAGGGACAGAGGGAGAGAGAATCTGAAGCAGGCTCCATGCCTGGTGCAGAGCCCAACGTGGGGCTTGATCTCACGACCCTGAGATCACGACCGGAGCCAAAATCAAGAGTCAGATATTAACCGACTGAACCATTCAGGCACCCCCCCCCGAATAGATTTTTAAGAAGCAATGCAGTCACAATTGAATAAAAATACTGTACCTTTTCATATTCTCTAGGTGTCCTAAACTAAGAAAACAGTGACTTAAAAAGATTTAAAAAGAGGAAAAGTATGTTGGTCTGGATGTAGTAAATTCTCGACCTTACAATCAGTGAGGCAGGCCTCCTGACACTGATCCATGACTCGCAGGAGGATGGAATTGGGTGCGGTTTCTCGCTGGATCATGGCTGGTCTTTGCTCCACGTGAGGTGCCCCACTCGAGGAGATCCCATTCTGACCAGGGGACTGTGACCTCCCCGAGGTCCCTTTGACTCGGGTCATGATCTCAGGGTTCTGATATGGAGTCCAGGATCGGGCTCCCTGCTCAGCGGGGAGCCTGTCTCTCCCTCTGCCCCTCCCCCTGCTTGTGCTCGCTCGCTCGCTCTCTCTCTCTCTCTCAGTCTGACCAATAAATACGTGAAGAATTCATTTGTCACCACCTAAGTATGTAGAGCTAAGTGAGCAGCTCGGTGAAGTACCCCAAACTTTGACTCACATGCAAGTGCTTTTCGGTGACCGGGGTGGGGGTGGGGGGCCGTCCCACCGGCTCTGCTCCGCAGCGGATGGCCTGTCCCACACTCGAGTTCCATGACAGCTGCTGCCTTTTCAAACCCATCTGTGTCGATCTGCGTATTGACCACAAATTTATTGTAAAGACAGAAGTTACCGTACCTCCACCATCCCATCTTCTAAACCACACTTCCTACAATAGCACACGTCTCTAAGTCCGGGAATCACCCAGCCCTCTGCCTTTGTCCCCACATGCTCCCAGACGAGTACAGTGAGCGCGACCGCCTTTCTCCAGACTTCTACGAAGAGTCAGAGACCGACCCAGGTGCCGAAGAGCTCCCAGCCCGGATCTTTGTGGCGCTTTTTGACTATGACCCCCTCACCATGTCCCCGAATCCAGATGCTGCCGAAGAAGAGCTTCCTTTTAAGGAAGGACAGATCATCAAGGTGGGGACCGGGCTGGGGGCTGCCGGGCAGGTGGGGCACCCAGGGTAGGGGGGGTGCTGTCACCGTACTGTAGGTCCTTAGCTTGTCCCAAGGGCAGGCTCGTTCTGTTGCTTTATATATTCAGCCTTCGGACCAGCAGAGAGGAGGGACCTTGTGAGTCTGAAGTAGGAACCTGAGAGAGAGCCTGGCCCTCCGTCTCTCGGAGGAAGCCCTTTGCTATGGACGGCGACACCGCTAGGAGGAGTCTCAAAGTCCCCTCTGTTGGGTGGGATCTCGTCACACACACCCAGCAAAGTGAAGCCAGAGCCCTGATGGGGAGACCAGCGGGTTGTCCAGACCCCGGGGCAGAAGCTGGTTCTCAGGTGTGGCTGCGTGGGTGGAGGGGCAGATGTGCACGTCTGCAGGGCGCGTGTTGGTGACCATGGGGCTCTTCCCACACATTGTGATGACACGCGGCTCCGCGCCGGCAGAGCTGATGCGCTTGCGACCCGGCAATCATACTGGCCCTTCGCACCGGCTGCAGGTCTATGGTGACAAAGACGCGGACGGCTTCTACCGTGGGGAGACCTGTGCCCGGCTCGGCCTGATTCCTTGTAACATGGTCTCAGAAATCCAGGCGGACGACGAGGAAATGATGGACCAGCTTTTGAGACAAGGCTTCCTTCCTCTGAACACGCCCGTGGAGAAAATAGGTAAGAGCCTCCCCCGGCTTACCCCTGCACCTGCTGGTGGGGCCGCTTCTGCTTCCCCTGGCGCCCCGCGCCAGCCAGGAGCAGGAGGTGGTGTGGACAGGGTCCGGTCTGGGCCATTCCAGATGGAAAATGAACCCACTCTACAAACCAGGTTGTGATGGTCCTGTGTGCTTTGGGGACATTTGTGTACCTAAATATTTACAAAAACATAGATGATTTTCTAATGGAAGATGAAGTGCAGCCTTGCTTACTAAAAGTCTGTCCCATCTAGAAAATAGACTAGTTGCTTTCTGGTTGTTTTTGCATGTTGTGTCCCCCTAAAATGTGTAAGTTTATCATGTGACCCCCACGGTGCTGGTGTCAGGAAGCCAAGCCTCTGGGAGGGGCTGACGTCATGACTGCAGAACTCTCAGAGGGGCGTCAGTACCCTCACCCAGGAGGCCCCACAGGCGTCGCTCGCCTCCTCTACCCCGCGAGGACACGGGAGAAGACCCGTCTGTGGACCAGGATGCAGGTCCTCCCCAGACCCCAACTCTGCGGCGCCTCGGCCTCGGACTTCCGGCCCCCAGAGCCGTGAGGAGCGACCGCGCTGTGTTCGGGCGGTGCGCACGGCCCGGGACGCCGGGGGTGGGCTGTGAGCCTCCGCCCGTGCCCAGTACGGGTCAGAGGTGATGAGGTCGTGCCATGCTTTCCATCCAGGTGGGTGTTGCTCATCCAAAAGGCAGAAAAGATTTTCACGCTTTAATGTGGACGGATGACAGACTTCTCCATTTTTCTTGACCCAATTTGCAAGCACCAGTGAGTACACAGCAAAACTACTTTCAGTGAATTTAAACATTACATTTATGATCTCTAATTGTGCCCACATGCAGGGAAAATCTACTCATTACAAAGGCCTTTGCTTTCTCTAAATGGCTGCAGAGAGAAAGATCCGTTTTATGTCATTTGTGTTTTAGGTTTTAATAGTTCAAAACATTAAGTTAACTTAATTCTAAATCAGATTTCAGAGACAAAATTCAATGGCTCAAAGAATATGCATAATTTTAAGGATAATCACAAAATCAAATACACTGTTTCAACCTCTTTGGTATGAATGAACTTACAGTCAAGTTGAAACCCACATCTGTTAGTTGAAGCTTCTGTGAATACACCGCCCAAGTCAAGTCCGCGAGCCGAAGCTCCCTGAGCCCCGTATACCCCCAACTCCTTTCCCAAGGCCACCGTGATGGGGTCAGGGCGGGAGCGGGCTCTACGCACCACACACCCAGCAAACCTGCAAGCGCTCCGCTAGAAAACAGTGGCTTGATTCATGTTACCAATTAGATTACATGTCTGTTTGTTGTATTCTTTTTTTCTAAACGTGACTTTTGAAGGAACCGGACTGAGCTTCCACAGGCCCTTCTAGTGCTACAAAGTAGGACTGTCACTGCAGGCTGAGCACGTGCCTCCTGCGGCCGGGGCAGGACCAGGTGTCCACCTCGCGGCCCTTTTCTGACACCACGTGCGGTGAGACAGGAGGAAACGGGATGCAGACCGGAACAGAAGACAAACTTTTTTCTAGTCACAGATGACATGAAAATCTACTTAGAAGATCTCAAAGGATCTAGAACAGAAGTTCCTAGAACTAACGAGTGAGCTTAGCAAAAGCAATTGTTTTTCCAATGTTAACCGTGAAAAATTTGAACTTGACATTTAAAAAGTAATACTTACAATGATGTGACAAAGACATGAGAAAGGAGGGGTTGAATGCACGCACGCTGTGTGTGGGGGAGACCACCAATGGCGAGGAAGGAAATCCAAGGATCCCCAAGTAAATAGACGTCGTGTTCCCGGACTTCAGGCAATGAAGACATCCAACATCCCCAAACTGACCTGCAGATGGACGCACCCCCCGGTCCACGTCCGTGCGCGTGGGACGCACCCCCCCCGCCCACATCTGTGCACATGGGACGCACCTGCCTGATCCAAGTCTCTGCAGGGATCCGTGTAGATTCGATGTGCTAAATCAAACATGTACGAAAAGGCAAAGGGATTACAGTTGCTTGAATGATTTTTTAAAAGCACAGTGAAGACTCGTGCAAGCGGGTTTTACGGCTGGCACACAGGGGAGCGATGGAGACCAGGTAGTGTGGGAGGCTGCAGAGGCACCGGGATCCGTGCAACAGGGCGAATCCAGGAACGGACAAACGCTTGCAGCGTCCACAGAGTTCCAACCCAGGGAGGGGGGCAGTTCAATGGGGAAAGGATGGTCTTTCCATAATGGGTGCTGGAATCGGGCAAAGAAAAATGAAGCTCGGGCCACACTCCTGCCAAACTCAAAAAATGAACTTAAAATTGAACACGGTCTTAAGTATAAAAACAGACCGTGAAACTTCTAGGAGAACTTCATGGTGAGGAAGCCACGATTTCTTTGACATCACACTAAAACCATGACACAGAAAAGGAAGGAACTGATGTCAGACTTCACTAAAATTGAGAAACACAGCATGAAAAGAACGAAGAGCGAGGCCCCAGGCTGCAGCAAGTATCTGCAAGTGACCCGGCCAAACGGGGAACCGTACTGAGAACACACTGCGCTCAACAACTCAATAACAGGAAAGCAAACCACCAGCGCCACCGTGGGCAAAAGACCCAAGAGATCCTTTGCCACAGAGGATTCGTGGATGGCAAACGAGCAGGTGGAGGGATGCATAACGGGACCCGTGGAGTGCCGATTAGAGCGCGATGAGAAGCCAGGATGCCCCTGCCGGGTCCGACGTGGGACCGGAGCTGCGTCCGCTGGAGGCGAACCCGTGTGGCACGACTGCTGTGCCCAACAGGCGGCGGGTCCGTCTCCAGTTGGACACATGGTGACGGCCGGCCACCCCTTCCTGGGGTCCTCGCCTGGGGGAATGGAGCTTCTGTGCGCTCACACAGCTGCTCGGGCGCTCACGGCGGCTGCACTGCACGTCACTGATCCCCTGCACAGTGGACCAAGTCACTGATGCTTCAGACAGGGGGATGCTCCTCACCAATAAAAGTAGCACCGCGGACACACGCAGTCACATGGAGGGAGCTCAGGGACATTGTCCCGGTGAATGAAGCCAGTTTCTAAACCCTGCATGACTCCATTTATAGGATATTCCAGAAAAGGTGAAAGTATGGGGACAGAAAACAGACCAGGGGTTACCTGGGCTGGAGGTGACCACAAAGACATGGGCGGGAGTTTGGGGGCTGAGGGAACTGTCCTCTATTTTGATGACTGCGGGGCTTACGTGACCACGTGAGCTTGCCAACATGGTGGGAAGCAGACGCTGGACAGAGTGCATCTCTGGGCTCTTCTTAACACCTGCAGGGATTCATTCTTGCACCTCCCCTGGAAAATTAACAACACTCAGAAGGACTGGATGCACCCCTGCAGGAAGTCTGTGCTCTGTTTCAAGGAAACACACATGCACAGGCCCTGCAAAGGTGCCCTCGCGCTTTCTAAATTACAGCAGCGACGCTGGAGCAGGACCCAAGCGTGGCCGATGTCTGGAACTTCGCACACAGCCAGCCCTGCACCTGCGGGACGCCCCGGAAGGGCACAGGACCGACGTCAGTTGCTTTCTAAACACGTGCCTTCAATGGTTTTCCTTTGTATGAATCCCAAAAACCAGTTCTAGGCACCGAGCAGCTGTGTTTGGAAGAAAAGCACCAACGCCAGGTCCTCTGGGAGAAACGCGCCGTCCTGTGCTGCCCAGAGCCATTTGGAGCTATGATTCCGGAGGATCCCCTGCTTCATCTTAGCCTCCCAGTTGGACGGACACATCGGGGAAGGGAAGCGTCCTCGCTGCTGTAAGGGGGGTACTGGGCCAGAGCAAACATACGAGAACATGCAGCTCAGGGCGACCGGCCCCACAGCTGGAGGCTTCGCTGGTGCTTGCACCCCGAGCACGAGGCCCTGGAGAGAGCGGTCGTCGGGTCCTGCTGGCCACGTGTGCCCTGCTGCCCTGGGGACGAGGGAGAGGGGGCGCCACTCCTTTCGGAATAACCACATGATGGCTTTCTTTTCCTCCTTGTGATGTAAACAGAGAGAAGCAGAAGAAGCAGCAGGCATCCGGGGGCGACGCGGAGGGTGGTGGCCCTGTACGATTATGACCCGCGAGAAAGCTCACCTAACATCGACGTGGAGGTACGCGCCCGGCGTCGTTCCGCTGTGGCTCACGGCCGGTGCCTGGGCCTCTCCTTGCACGGAGGCCTGGGGGCCATGGGATCTGGAAGGGTCGGTACATGCAGTAAATGGCGTGAGGGCGCTGGGCGGGAGGAGACAGGGAAGGCGCGCAGCCACTGATGAGCCCCGTCGCCGTGGCTTGGGGTCCCCGTACGGGACACTACGGGGGGAGCAGTCTGCGATCTTCTGCCTCAGGTGACAGCCCTATAGGGTCGCCTGGAAGACAGAAATAACAGCCCCAAGCGAAAGCAGAACTGTAAGGTCCCCCCTGCCCCCCCCCGCCACATGCAGAAGCTGAGGAGGAGGCCCCGTGTCTTCCACACACGTGGCCTGGGCCGGCGTGGCCCTTGACGCCCTGGGAGGCAGGAAGGGAGTCACCTCCAGAGCTGAGAGGCTCGGTTTTCAGCCCATGGACCTGCTTTCTCAGATGACAGCTGTGTCCAAATCTGTCACCCACGGTTTTCCTTGTGCCCCACGTGCTCCCAGCTCATTGTTCAGATTCAGAGTGCGCACTCTGCAAGCATTTCTGCATGGACCCGATTCATAGGGGACGCCTGGTGGCCTGAGAGGTCAGCTTCCTTCCCTCATCTTCACATTCAGAGATTAACCCACATGTTATTTTGTCCTGGGTTTGCACCCTCCACTAGAGTCCATGTGCCCGTCTCAAGGCTGGTGCCTGGCACGGCACAGACACTTGGTAGAGAATGAATAATTGAGTAAAGGTTTTTTGCACTCAGTGAAAGGGTAGTTATCTAACGGTCCTTACACTGCAGAGGATTTTTCCCTGAAGTTCTGGGTTTTTCAAGTTAACTCTTTGACCGGTTCCATTTTATTTTTTTAAAAGATTTTATTTATTTATTTATTTGAGAGTGAGATCGAGCCCACAAGCAGGGGGAGCTGCAGAGGGAGAGGGAGAAGTAGGCTTCCCGCGGAGCAGGGAGCCCGACGTGGGGCTCGATCCCAGGACCCCGGGATCATGACCTGAGCCGAAGGCAGACGCTTCACACTGAGCTCCGGCGGGAACAGCGCGCGGGGCGCTTTGCGGGGAGGCGGGCTGCAGCCTGAGCTGTTCGTCCTCCCTGAGTCCCTGAGGCGCCATGCACGGAGGCACTCGTCGGCTCCTACCCCTCCTCCCTGTTTGAGAGAGCAGGTCAACGCCAGAAAGATGAGAAGAAAGAAATCATTAGAGCAAACCAGGAAGAACTTTCTAAGGAAAACCGACTACTCCGTGTCGAAGGTATTACTAACTTGACGTTCTGTCTCCACAGGCAGAGCTGACGTTCTGCACCGGAGACATCATTACTGTTTTCGGTGAGATCGATGAAGATGGATTTTATTATGTAAGTTTTTGAAAAATCAAAAAAGCACCATTTCATTGATTTTGCACGTCTATTTCCGCTTGCGTGTTCTTGCCCCGACAATTATGTGTAAGCTTCCTATGACTTTCGGAAAGGTCCCTGTCACTGAGGCTCGTCTGATACAGAGAGAGGGGCTGTGAGCGTCTCCATCCCTCCTGCTCTGAGGGGGGCACTTCCGTGTCTGTAAGCTGCAAACAAAGGACATGTATTCCCATTCTTCGATCTAAAATTGTCTTCCATCCAAACAGGTACCAGTTTAACTCTCTGGTTATTTGCAAGGTATAGGTTTTTATACGGGAGGAGGAAGGAATACAAATAGGCAAAGTTACTAGTTAATCCACCCCAACAGGGTGTAGAACTCCTCCCTGACCTTCCTTGGAGCTGATGGCCATTGGCAGCGGGGACCAGGCTCTGGGCAAGGGCTCCCGGCTCAGTGGCCCCGGGGGCAGCCTCCGTCCTTTACCCTCCCGACGTTTCCTGAGGCAAAGAGAGAATGCCGGTGGGCTTCGCGCCGTGCTCCTGCCCTGGTGGTCCTCCCACGAGTGCCGCCCCCCCGGGCCCGAGCCCACAGGGCTGTGAAGGACACAGCTGGCAGGCCTGCGGGGTGCACGCCCCGGGGGGGCTGGGGGACAGGGCCGCCATCTCGCGCAGGGATCCTACCCCCCCCATCACCCCCCCTTTCTTTTATTAAGATGGGGTGAGAGTGTCGTCCAGGAAGACGCCCACATTCTGCCTCAGGCGGCGGGTGCCCTTGGGACAGGGGCGTGAGAGCACAGTCGAGAGAAAGATGTGCTTTGGCAAGTGCTGAGCTTGAGGGTGTGAACAGGACGTCTGAGCCTCTCCATGAAGCAGAGGGATCCGTGCCGCCGATCCTGGAGGATGCTAGTGGCCACGTCTGATGCAGCCGCGTGCGGCGGAGGGGGCAGCGCGAGGCGGTCCCGTGCGCTTCTGACGTGGCGTTCGCGGGACCGCGCGAGAAGCCCGGCAGACTGAGGGGAAGAGGCAGGTCTGTCCCCCGAGCTCCTCGGGGAGCCCGGACCAGGGGCCCGTCTGCACGTCTGCGGGCGCGGGACTGTCCGGGTGTGCGTGCCCACGCGCATGTGAAGACGAGGCCGTGCGTTTCCACGGGACCCGGTCCCCACACCGAGCCACGACTCCACGTGGCGCTCCCCGGAAGGAGCAGGCGTGGCTGGTGCTGGAGGAGGGTCTGGCTGACGACTGGGCTCGTGGACTGTGGAGTGGCTGGTGTAGACGGGATTTGTGACCCTCAATGTGGGAGAAACCCCCGGGGAAATGTGTACAGTAAGCAGCAAAGGTGTCCTTGGGAAAGTCTCTAAGGGCCACCGAGAGAGACCTTAGCTCCTGGAGGAGGCCGAGGAAGGAGGCAGGGACGGGGGCTCTGGGGTCGAAGAGAGGGCGGGTGGCCAGATCCGGCGCGTGCGTCTCGGGCTCAGAGGGGATTCTTGCTGGGAAGACACGGGAGGTACCTGGGACCACCTCTTTTTTTATATCAATTTTTATTTTTAATTGGGATAAAATACACATTCTTCATCATCTCTACGTGCACAGTGCGGTGGTGATACATCCGCGTTGCCGTCCGCCTTCAGGACTCCTCCCCGCTTGCCGCCCTGGAACTCCATCCCCAGCAAACACCAGTCGCCCCTTACCCCTCGCGTCCCCGGCCCCCCGCCTCCTCTCCGTCCCCGTGAATCCACCTGCCCTCCGGGCCTCCCACACGGGGACTCTTCTCACGCCTGCCTTACCTCGCTGCGCAGAGCGCCGTAGCGCAGCTCACCCTCTCCTTCCTTTGAAGGCCAAAAATGACTCCACGCTGGGTGCACGTGGTTTAGTCACCTGTCCGCCCGTCAATGGACACCTGGCCCCTGTGAGTAATACAGTGATGAACACGGTGTGCAAACACGTCCCTCGGACCCTGCTTCCAAATCTTTCGGGTTTTGACCCAGGAGTGGAATTGCTGGGTCAAATGGTTTTGCCCTCAGCAGCGCCCACTTCTCACCCCCCCAGCAGGTGCATGAGGGCTCCAATTCCTCCCTGTTTTCAGCAACATTTTGTCTGTGTTTTGTTTTAAATTTTTGTTTGTCTGTGTTCTGTAGTAGCCGTCCTAACAGATGTGAGGTGGTATCTGGTGGTTCTGGTTTACATTTCCCTAAGATGCTCGTGTTAATTCACGTTGAGCATCCTTCCGTGTACTTGTTGGCCGTCTGTGTGTCTTTTGCGGGGGAGGGCTGGAGATAGCGATGCAGATCCTCTGCCCGTTGTTTAATCGGGTTCTTGTGTTGAGCTCTCGATGTGTTCTGGACACGACCCCTTCTTAGGTAGTTTGTGAACATTCTCCCTTCCATCCCGTAGTTTGCAAACATTCTCCCATCCATCCCGTAGGTTTGCTCTTCACCCTGGTGGTGGTGTCTTTGGCTGCAGTGTCTAATCAGGGAGTAGGCTGCGCATCTCATGCCGTCGTTTCTTAGACTGGAAAACAGAGCAACAGACTCCCATGTAGTCCGGGGCCAGCCAGTCTGGGACTTGGTTTTGGACACTGGTGGGGCAGGTGGGCGTTGGGGGCAGTGGGGAGGAAGTGACATGGTGGCCGTGACCCGCTCAGTCCAGATGTCCTGTGGATGGTGACCTTAACTATGTACCTGCGTAGAGATGTGAGAGAAAGTTCTGGAAGGGAGCAGACGGACGTGAAGCAGTATCCTCTCTCGGGAGGTGTCAACGGACACTTTCATGTCCCCCATACTGTTTGCATTTTTATGGTGAGAATGTGGTTGTGCACGGGACGGATGCGTAGCTCCGCACCTGGGCCGCACGCTGGACCGCCTGCTGGCCTCGGGAGGGGGTCAGTCTGTCTGGATCGGGGCATCTGCTCAAGTGGTGTCTTTAAAAGCTCCCCAGGGATGCTGAGGTCAGCCGGGGGGTCAATGGCCACTACGTGGGGTGGTCCCGAGGACTGGTTCCTGGGAGCTGCCTGAGCCGCTGGCCAGAACACAGCTTCCTCAGCTCCACCCCAGACAGGCCAGATGCAGACCTTGGGGATGGGACCCTGCCCCTCGAGCGCATCCCGAGGTCACTGTCCTGATCAGGGTATAGTTTGGAGACACTGGAGTCCCTCTGAGTTCTCCCACCTTTGAACCAGAACAGACCCCGCAGGCAACCCTCCCCAGAGCTCTGCTCCTGTGGTGAAAGCAAGAAGGAGGTTTTGGGAAAATCGAGTAATTTGTTCTGCTGTGTTTTTAGGGGGAACTTAACGGGCAGAAAGGCCTTGTGCCTTCAAACTTCCTGGAAGAAGTGCCTGACGACGTGGAAGTCTATCTCTCTGATGCACCGTGCCACTACCCCCGAGACGCGCCAATGCGCTCCAAGGCAAAACGGGTAAGCAGACCCCCCCCCAGCACCTCCGACTCCTGCCCCCTCGGCCACGCTCGCTCTCACACAGCCCTCCCGTGGATACGTTTGCGTCTTGGGCCGAAAAGCCCATGCCCTGAATTTTTCTCTCTGCCCTTCCCTGGGGGTTGTGCCTAAAGCATTCTCACTTTTGCTTATTTGTTTCACAAAACCTGCCCCCTCTCGGTTCTAACCCATCTGCCTTTCCTCACAAAGGGAGTCCCCGCCCTGCCCTGTAGACGCGCATTCCAGCTGGGGTGAGAGTGAAGGGGATGGCTAGTCCTTCCGTTCGTTTGCCCTGCTAGGATTTCAGTTCTCTTAGCAAAGACCAGAGACCTCCTCCAGCATAATTAACTAGAAGATGACATTCATGTTTAGTGTCTCATTTTTATTTTATTTCATCACTGCCAGTTTTTATATATTATATTTTTATATATATATATTTTTATTTCTTTGCTCATCTGCTTGGAAACAGAAGAAGAGTGTTCATTTCACACCTTAATCAGGCACTGTAGCCTTCACGTAAGTGAGCAACTGAAGATACCCGTACAGATTTAGCCCCGTCCGCGGCGCTAGGCGGACTAGTGCGGGAGACGCAAGGCTTCACTGTGGGTGTTAAAAACAAAAACAAAAACAAAAAGAAATATGTCTCAAAAAACCACTGGGCCTGAAATAGTAGGCTATTACTCGGTCTCAGTTGTAAAGCAACTGAATTTGTAGTCAAATCATCATCTTTACTCCTCATTTCCTACTATCTACATTAAGAATATTTCGAAGGCCAACATTGGGAACATATTTCTTAAGAGGCTAATTGTTTGTTTACGTAGAGAGTGTTGCAGTGTCTCCTCGTAACTAAAGCTGCATATTGCATTGTTAGCCACTCTTGGAAAAAAAGCACAACCTAAACCACTATGTTTACTCTAGGAAATTTTCCTCTAAAAACACAGGAGGTTGAGCAGATGAGTAGTGAGCAGGGGGCAGATGCAGAGTTGGCTCTGACAGGCCCCCTGCGGGCTTGACCCCAACCAGTCTGTCAGGGTCAGGTCCGTGCCTCTGTCTCGAGAGAGCGCAGGCTCCCTCCTCAAAGCACAAGCCCGTGCCCCGAGCGCCGGCCTTTGCGGCCGGGCCAACCGTGGGGCACCAGTGCAGTCCTAGGCGTGACGAGCCACGCGGCTACAGTGATGGCGTTGGACGGAGTAGACGGTATCTTCAGCTGTGCTTGGGATGCTTTACTAGGTGTCTTCCATTGGAACTAGACCTTGATTCTAAATCCAAGCAAGCTTGAAGCCCTTGGCTCCTCTCCTGTACCTGCTGGCTACCGAACACTCGAGGGAGGCAGGGCTTTGCGTGGAGAGTTGGGGGGGGGCGCAGGACAGGGCGCCGGGCCGTCAGGCGCGCATCCGAGCCGCCGGGCGAGCCCCGTAGACCGAGGCACTACGTGCGCACTCTGCGGGCAGAAATTCACGTCCGGCCCCTGGGGAGTAATGAAAGCATGCAGTAAGGGCCTTTAAGCTTCCTTTGATTGCGATTGAGGTTCATTTTAGTTTTTTTTTCTTTCAACTGGTGTGTGCCATCGCTCTAGCCTACTAACTTCCCCAGGAATGCACACGGCAAGATCAGCACTTCCTCTACCCCAGCCGCTTTCAGACCCAACAAGTCCCCTTTAAGAACCTTTGCTTTTAAGATTACTGACGGGCACTCAGCCAATTTCGTGTAACCTAATTTAAAAAGTGACTTCTGCTCCCCACCCTGCCCCCACCCCTCCGCTAGGGCTCTTAATTTACAAAGCAAATTATTACCTAGCCTTGTCTGGCCAAAGCCGTGGCCTCCCCCTGCCCTGAAGACAAAGAAACCGCAGACCAAACGTGGATGGCTAGACCCCCCCCCCCCCGTAGGGCCGCTGTGGGGTGGGGGTGGGGGGGCGCGCGCGCTCGTGGCATCCTTTAACCCCGAAGGAAGACACGAGCCACCCCTTACCTTTGCTGGCGGGGGACGGGGCCGTGCGGTGTTACCAGCGGATGGATGTTGTTGGCGCTCACGCACTCAATGAACTGTCACACTGTACCTACTAGGTTCCTCCTGAGGGTTCAGGTACAGCAAGGAGAGCGCCATCCCCCACAGCCCATCTCCATTCGGGGTCACCTCCGTCATCTGTGGGTACTGGTAGTCCTGGGAGAGGCAGGGAAATGTCCTCGAAAAAGAAAAAGGGGCTGCTTTCCAAAGGCAAGAAACTGCTGAAAAAGCTGGGTGCAGTGAAATGACCATGTGCTTCTGGACGACTCCCCCAAACCCATGTCATGCTCTTTGATTCCAAACTAGGGCTTTCAATGACTCAAGTACTTCCTAAAAACACACTCTTCTCCCCTGACACCAGGAGAGAAGTGCTCTTTGCACTGCCGTCCACTTTAAGCCAACGGCGAGGACAAAGAGCGGCTGGTGCCCCCTCCCAGCCTCCGTGCCGACCGCTCTGGCCCGCGGCCTGACGGGAGGCGGGCTCTCCCAAGCACCCAGGGGCCAGGGGCTCGCTCCCCGCCCGGGGTCCCAGCCTCTGTGCGTTTGTCATCCGCCCTTAAAGCAGTGGTTTCCACCTCAACCCCTTCTCAAAATGCTTGCCTCATGATGCATCACTCTCTTTAACTCTGGTCTTAAAGTTCCTAGTTTAACCGCCTTGATGTTCTGCCTTATAAACGCACAATGGTCTGTACTGTCTAATAAAAACTACCGTGTAACTTTGTACGTGTCGTGCATTCAGTGCTCCTCACCCTCACACAGCGCTCTGAAGTCACTCGTGCAGGCCGTGCATTTTGATGCCCTGGCTTTTCGCCTTTCCGCAGCGAGCCGGGCAACACACAGAAAATGTTTACTTACTCAGATCATTCAAAAAAAAAAAAAAAAGAGTGAGAAAGTCACTTTGTTTGGAGAAGTTACTGCTCCTCCAACTTGCCAGAAAGCTGAGAACCGCTCATGGCTTCCAGCGTCCCCTTCGGTGGCGTATGGATGCCCGCCACTTCCATTATTTGTCCCACGCCACCCACAGCCGGCCCGCGGCGCGCAGCACGCAGGAAGCGGCCCCCCCCCCGAGGCACACGCCACACCCACACCCTCCTAAGCTCAGCCCGTCCACACGGCTCCACACCAGGCTCCCCCATGGGCCCTCGAACAAGAGACTCACAGAGCTGCCGGCTGGTGTATCGGATTGCTTACTATTTTGTAATTCTTGTCCACTTGTAAATTGTTTTTACTCTTTATACATACTTTTCAGACTGCCTTTCTTTTGTAATTTACGGAAGGTTTATAAATGAATGACCAAGCTTTTCCCATTGTGTCTTCAAAAACTCTCTTGTAAATTGTAATATATTAGTGTGTGGTACATTTATTAAAAGGAAATTCGTCCGTGTGTGGTTCAGTACTGTGTGTGCGTGCATGTGTACGGTCAGTGTAAGATATTTTATAGAAATAAAATTTGTTATTTTATACAATGCCGTTTCTTCCGTATCTTCGTTTGAAACACTTTTGACCAGAGCGGCCTCTCGGGATTCCTTTCTCCCGTGTGCACCAGGAAACTCGATGGCCCTGCCTTTGCCGGCACTCCCTATTTCTCCGCAATGGTTGTGACCAGCACTCAGGAGTCGGTCACCAACTGCCGTCCCCTCGTGCTGCTGGCGACAGCTGGTGGCAGCCCGCTCTGGCGGACGGAGCCAATGTTCCTTGGGCCTGAGGAGCACTCACAGACAGACAGCCGGGGCCCCGGGGGGCGAATCGAACCGTATTTGTCCTATTTTACGCTGGTCCCTTTACAATTCAGGTGCCGCGCGTGACCTCGTGCCTGTGTGCGATCTGAACCGGCCAAACCCACGCGGCCGGGGCAGAAGGTCAGGGGGCACAGAGTTTCAGTTAGGCAAGATGAATAAACTGATGCACTAATGTAAAAAAAAAAAAAATGCTAGGTCAAACGGAAAGTCTCACGAAAAAATAAATTCCAGCTGAAGAAATACTGACGCAAGAAATTATGGTGCACACGACAGTGTGAATGCCCTTTATGCCACCGCATGTTTAAAGATGGTTGAAATGGTACATTTTCTTACGTAGACTTTACCACAGTAAAACAAAACAAAACAAAGATAGTGAAGGTAGCCAGGAGTAATGTTTCTCTAACTCTTTTGAAAATATTTACGAATTTCCCAAAATATGGAGGCAGACCCAAACGCCGGCAAACCCGCAGGAATAATGAGGGGCTTAGCTTTGGTGAATACTCCTGAACACTCGCACACTACATGATGCCAGCTGTACACACTTCCAGAGAGAAGAAAACTGCCCCAACTCCCGAGGCCAGCAGAGTCCGCAGCAAAACTAGACAAAGACATTACAAGAAATCCACAGACCAAGAGCACCATGAATTTTAAAAAAATCCTTAATGAAATATTAGCAGATTAAATCCAGCAATGTACAAAATGGATGGCTGATCCACTATGCCCAGCTGTAGCTCATCCCAGGAATGAAGGCTGCCTGAACTTTCTGAGAAAAAATCAACACACTTTACCAATAGAACAGAAGACAAAAGCTATCTTTTGATGCAGCAAAAGCATTGGACAAAATTCGATCCCTATTCAGGAAACTAGGAAAAGAAAGGAATTTATCTCAACTTGATAGGATTAGCAGCCGGCACCATACGTAATGGTGAAAGACTGACCGCATCCCTCTTTTCATCCAAACCGAGCCAAGGACACCAACTTGACCCGTTGTGTTCAGCATCGCACACACCACTCCTAAAACACCAGCCCAATGAGGAAAGAGAAGTCATACACTCTGGAAAGGAAGAAGTAAAACAGTCTTTGCAGATGACATGATTTTGTATTTGGAAAATGCTAAGACAGCAACAAAATGCTGTTGGGACTAAGAAGTGGACTTGGCAAGGTGACAGGCTACAAGGTCAACATACACAAATCATTGGTATTTCTACAAACTAGCAGGGAACAATTAGAACAGAAATTAAAATACAAATATAAATGGTATAATAAGTAAAAATATAGGTAATTAGTTATATTAGCATCAAAACCACAGCATACTTAGGGATAAGTTTAACAAAATATGAGCAAAACCTGTATGCTGAAATTTATAAAACATTGCATAGAAATAAAAGGGCTCTTAAATAGAGATACAGGATATGTTCATGGTTTAGAAGATGTAATATTGTTAAATTTCCGATTTTCCCCCAAGTAGATCTATTGATTCAGTGAGATGCCAGTAAAAATCCCAACAGACTTTTGCTAGAAATTGATGAGCTGATTTAAAAAATGATGTGGAAATGCAAATGATCTACGATCACCAAGACGGTTTTGAAAAAGATAAACAAAGTCAAAAGACTCCCAATTGCCTGATTTTGAGACTTGTAAGGCCACAGTCATCAAGACAGTGTTGTTTTAGTGTAAAATGTGGACATTTAAGTCACTGGAACAAACTAGAGAATCCAGAAGTAGAGGCATACATACATGGCATGTTCAT